GCTGACGAAACACTACAGAATTCTGCCTGTCAGACAGTGGTGAAGAACTACTTGACAGCCTCCACTGTTTCCTCAGCAGTGCTGTTTTGGGTGTTCTGCTGGCTGGTCTTTTCAGAAGTGGTGGGTGGCCATCTGAAACAATAGAATGCACTGAACCGTGTGCACAGCACTTAAGCCATTCATTCCCACAGCTCCTTGGATGCTGTAGTTGCAATCCCAATTGAGGTGCCCAATGCAGTGTCTTACCATACTTTCTGGGATCAGTTTCAGTTTATGCAGTCTGTTGATGTGAACAGGACCCTTGCAATGATGCAGTCAGCTTCTTGCTCAGTTGATCCTAGTGCATCCTGACTTGGGGAAATCAGTCTGGCGGATTGACCAGGTGGGTCCAGGGTACAATGGCTGTGTTCTTAAGCCTGTTGCACTTAAACAGGTGGCAGTGTGTCCACTTTTGAAGAACCCCACCCTGAAGTCTTTGGTTTACAATTAGAGTCCAGCTGCAAATACCCACTTCTTGGGCATGGTGGCAGGGTATTGGTGGATGGATTGCAGGAGATTGCAGGAATTAACTGGAAAATAAGAATTAGCTGGATCCATTTCGGTCTGGGTTCAGGTAGTCTTGGGAAGGGACTAACTTTGGTTGTCCTGATGGATTGCCTATATGAAGAGTTTCTGAATATCTCCACAGCTTGTCATATGACTATCGTATCCTCCTGGACCAGATCTGTGGGATGGGTATGGGGTAAGAGAGTAATAGTGGGGTCACTCCAACCTACAGGGCCATGTCCAGAGAATAGCACCAGGGATTCTGTTTCAGACCACATGATCCTTTTGCTACAGTGTGTTACAGGGCACTAACTTCTTTACATGGAGCTATTAACTTTGTGCTTTCATTTGTAGGGATGTAACCATATACTCTCTCACCTCAAAACATTAATGGATTTTGTGGTGGGCAAAATCAACCCTAGGTCTATCTGAAATTTCAAGGAACTACTGGAATTGCAAACACCCGTGGTAGCAGACGTCCTTAAACAGTTGCACTCATTAAGACTTCAGGGTTTTTTATGTGGAAATATTTTAGGGATTTCATGATCAAGCCCTATGGTTTAATGGTGTATTAAAGAATGAACCAAAAGAAGGAAATCCAACATCCAACTTGTATATAGTCCTAAAGTTATGGACTTTTGTGTGTGTGATTTCAGCCCTCAAGTACAACTCACATGGTCCGTTCAACTTTGCCTTCAAGATTTTACAGCACTCTTAAGTAAATAACTCAGTTTCAAAGGCCACACTGGAAATATAAGGTTCCTATGACTATTGTAGATAGCAGACCATAAGCACTAGACAAAATTTGTCTATTTAGCTTAGTCTTCAAGGATGCTACTGTGATCAAAGGTTGGTAATGCTATGTCACAAGTTCAGAAGCATACTTCATCTTAAATGTTAATGAAATTGATTAAAGTGCCAATTATGCATTTATTTGTTTCAATTTGTATCCTGCCTTTCACCTGTAGATTTAATTTATCTAGCACCAGCCATGCTAAATGTAAGTCTCAAAGACTGCCACTATGCTGGGCTTGTTTCAACAGAAACAGGTCATAGGTAGAAGACCACATTTCATAAAGAAAAACAAGAATGGAAAATTTATCTCCATTGCAGTTCAGGAAAGGATGCATGGATTTTAAGGGTATGAGATTAAGATTGTGCAGATGTACACTATGTAGTAACAACTCTTTAAGTTAAATGGTTTTAGAGTGGGATAAGCTTCCTAACACATGTAGGCTTAGTTTGTATCAGATAAAATGTATTCTACCACGTTATGTAATCTACTTTCATAAATACATGGATATTTGTATAGCTCATGCAAATAACAGGATTTTATCCCACCTAATTCACAGCATAGCTGTTTCACCTCTTACTTGCTCCTATGGAAATTATATATTCATCTCTCTTTGTTGGGCCAGTTGCATAGCAACTGTAGTTTGCAGTACAAGGAGGCTACATCTCACTAACAATGACTGTAGACCTCAATGGAATTGTGCTAGTTCTCACATCACCAAAGCGTGCCAACTTAAGAGCTGTTGGGAATAGAGTATATTTTGAAAGAAGCTAAATTCCTTCCATAAGGTATATTTTCCGCCTGAATAATTTATAGTTTTCTACTCATCTAGTAAGGAAGGAAAGAGAAGCAAAACAGTTTTTAAAAATCGAACCGCAGACAAGAAAGCATATACATATTAAAAAGAGAATGTAGCAATATTGTCTCTTGTTCATGCTAAACTTCCAATAAACATGCCCACCTGGAAAATGAATACAGCAGATGAACAGAATCATCACTCTGCCTTTCTGGGAAGGAAATAAGACCTTCTCTTTTCCACCCCTGCCTAGAAAATATAGTTAGGGACTTTGTGGCAATGCAGGACCGGTCCTAGGCCATATTGTGCATAGATTAGATTCCGATTCGGCAGTTGTCTCTAAATTTCCATTCACTCCACGCATAAGATGCTCCTATGTTGGAAACTCTAAGCCAAGGTGCGGAAAGCAATTCCAAAGAGTGAGTAGTTACAGTCTCAAGAAATCAGTCCTTGAGGACTAGAAGAAATGACAGGTGAGGAAATTCTTGCTTCTGTTACAGACACACAAACAAACCAAAAGGGGAAGAAGAATACAACTTCCCCCATTCCTACCATGCTGAGCTCAAAGTAACTCTGAACTCAGTTCAAATGAAAGTACAAGCTGCATGACAACCTAAAGAGCACTGTCTCTCTGTTCACTTGTGTTTACTCTAAAGTGGTGCCCAAAGACTGCTACCACTAGGAATACAACTCCAGGGTGAGATGGAGGAAACAGAGGTCTGTAATTTTCTTCCCCACTAACTCAACCCATTTTGGTAGGCATTTTGCTAATGCAATATGAAACAAAAGTATAAAATCAGTAAAATATTCAAGATTTACACAGGGGCAAGTATCTACAACAAATCATTTTACTGCTCGTGCAACCAAGGCAGGTGAACTAATAAAAATAGTCACTTAATGCACTCTTTAAAAGTTTCATAACATTAATTTCACAATTTAACCTACAAGCAATAAGAGATTAAAATCACTAATTCTCATGAAATCTACATTCACTTGGTTTCTTCTGGATAGCAATCATAGTCTAGATCACCTTTTGTCGGCAACATTTGATCTTAAGCTACAAAAGCTGGAAAGGGCAACTTTTGATATTTTTGTCTTGCAGATAAGAGTAACTATACTTTTGTACATCTATTAAAACTAACAAGTATGAGTATTTGACACATAGACCTTATCTGTAGACAGATCTGTGAAGCCCTGGGCTTTAATTTATATTTAATTTCATGGGATCCACACATCAGTGAAGCAAATGTTTTCAGTGTCTATGTGTATTCAAAACTGATTCTCTCTTCTGCAACAAATGCTAAATATAAAAAATGTTCCAAAGTTATGGGTTGCATAAAGACCTCATTACTGTGGGGGAATGACTGTGAATGGTTCTTCACTGCTCAGATGCACAGCTTGTATTCACAAGGAACCATGCGTTCAGCATTTTGGAGCCATTTTTGTAGAACTCACTTTAAGTTGAGGTCAGACAGGCCCCCTCCCTGTTGAACCTCCAGCAGTGACTGAAGACCCAGCAGGCTTTTTAACTGAATTCTGATTTTATAGTTTTTAACATATTTTTAATTCTACTGTATTGAGTGTCCTATAACCACTTAGAGACGACTGTGTTTAACCAATATATTATCTTTTGAAATAAATATATACTTTGGAAAGTATCAGTATTTCAGAACAAAGGCACTGTCTGATGAAGAGCACTTGCTCCATCTATCAACCGACTGACCTAACATTTTTCTAGAGAGGAGGATATAACTTGCTATTTAAGACAAACTTGCATTTATGCTGTCCAATGCTGTGGTTAATTATTAACCACAATTACTAAGAAGTAACTGCCGAGGATCTTGTTGAACCCGAAGTCGAATTAATTAAGAAATACAATTTCTGTTATGGAATTAGAGTTTCCCATTTTTCCCATTTGACATTGCAGTAGTAAATCATCATTTTACAGCATCAGCAAGTGCATTTAAAAACATACTGGGAGTAAACATGACTTACAACAGTGAAAAAAGCCACAACAGACTACTATATGAATGTAATAGGTATTATTAACAACATTAGAAGAAAAAAATCAAGGAAAATGAAAACACAAGAACATCACAATTAACACCTCTACAAGCATAACTATATAGTGGTACCTCGGGTTACAAACACTTCGGGTTACAGACTCTGCTAACCCGGAAGCAGTACCTCAGGTTAAGAACTTTACTTCAGGATGAGAACAGAAATTGTGCGCCGGTCGTGAGGTGGCAGCAGGAGGCCTCATTAGCTAAAGCGGTACCTCAGGTTAAGAACAGACCTCCGGAACAAATTAAGTTCATAACCAGAAGTACCACTGTATAATGATTGCAAGAACTATCATCAGAGAGCAATCAATTTAATCAGAACACTGTGAAAATTGAGATAACATAAGAGACAAAGCAAAAAAGAAACCTAAAAAAAAAAAAAAAATCTGCAATGCAACCTGGTCAGAAGTAAATCCTATTGTACTCAATGGGGCATACTCTAAGTTGATATAGAATTGGAGCCTTAGCTGGGATCTGCTGTCAGAAAGCACTTCTCTAATTTCTGTGGGTTAAGAGCATGAAAAATCGAGTTCTGTCATCACAAAAAGGATAAGGCAAAGTCATCCACTAAATTAGCATGTTTATTTGTCAGTTGAAGAAGTCCGTTACTTATGTAAGCAGCAAAACAAAATCAGATCACGAATGATTCCTATGCAAAATCACTGTGAGCAATAGCCTCTGCAGTGACCATTACACTTCTTAACCAAACATACAGAACATGCCATATGAAAAAGTTACTAACTGAAATACGTGCATTAAATATTGGGAGAAAAAAAGGTTTACATTTTTATTATAATTTACTTTAACAATCTAAGAAGTTTGCGGCCATCAGCAGTTCCAGTGCAATTTCAGGTGCAATTGGAAATTCAGGGATCTCTGTAGAGCTGTTAGTGTAGCGAACCTTATAGGTGAAATACATGCATACTTTGGATAGGACGTGGGAAGGAATCTCTCTGAAATTCACTTCATTTGTTTCATTTTCGGCAAATTGTCCTGTGTACATAAAAGAGACAAATGAGCACACAGATCTTTCTGCAAGTAAACATTTCAACAAAACGTTGTGTATTATTTGGTAGAGTTCTTGGCCAGTTGAACCTGAGCATTTTAAGAATGCTGTATCTCCTTTATGCTTTAAAATTACTTCAATTTTGACCAGCTAAAGAAACAATATTTTTATTTTATGAATATTTTATTCAGAAGAATATTTTAACAATATTTATCCTACAAAACCAGCTCTTATGACAGTTTTCACGTGAGAAGGTACTAGTGGGCTGATCAGAGTGAAATCTTGAACACAACAGAAGCTGTAAAAACAAGTTAACCAGGCAGTGCCCTTTTCAGCACTAGTACAAAGAATGGCAGTTAGTTTGGGGCACTCAAATGGATTCTGGACTTCTTTTTTCTTGAATGGTAACCTCTTACCCAACTCCACCCCACATACATGAACATGTCACAGAAAAAGTAGCTTCTGAGAACTCAGGGGAGTTCTAACAGGAGTTTTTCTACATGACAAATAAATGCTGTTCAAAGAAAAATGAACTAGTCACACACTTCAGGTGAATGAGAACCCTTAAGTACACTTAAATTAGTTCTTTGGAGCCCGGCCATTGTTTACATACAATCTAAAAATTATCAGAGGACTACGCCAAAAGAAAGCAGTAAGTTGGTTAAGGAGAAGGTTGGCTGTCATGGATTCTACTTATTCCATTTTGAGAATTGATATTTAATTTCCACATCAGTGACCCTGCTTCAGTTTGGTTCTGTACTTTTTGATGTTTTTTATTTATTTATGACTAGTTTTGTATTTATAACTAGTTTTGTTATGTTTGTGATTATGTAAATCTTTTTATGTTGTAAACCGCCTTGAGCATGGTTTTAACTATGGAAAAGTGGCATACAAATAAAATGATGATGACATAACGCTAATCAAGAATGAGAGAATGAGGGTACATGGTGGATAAATTTTGGCTGCTTCACTCCTCCCCACACCATCTGGAGCTAAGCAATGGTTTGGCTTAGCATTACATTCAACAAACAAACAAACCAACCATGAGCTGTAGCCAAGGTTTGTTCTGAAAAGCGACAAACCACAAGCCTGGGTTTGGATAAAATGCTAAGCTAAACCAGTTTGGGGAAAACACCCTCACAGAGCAAATTTGAACCCCTGGCAGGTCAAGTTTGGCCTGTGGACCAACAGTTTTCTCAAACCACAGGGCTTATAGAAAAAGACATGGATTGAGCATTGCAAATGTTAATCTATTTTGGCTTTTCCTCTTAGAACTTTATATTAGAAGTCCAGGCCAAATTTAAAAGGTGACATAATATATCCATATATGCCAGTTAATTTAAGGAAGCCATCATATAAGTACTTAAAAAATAATTCTAAAATTTGACAATAAGTATGGTTTTAATATGTATGTCTCTAGTGTTGTATCTCAACACATCCTTGCCTGCGACATATTCCATCAAATGATTTCACCTTATCTTGTGTCTGGAACAGTTTCCCAAAACATCTCCATGATGCTACCTCTCATGTTTCCTTCATATTTCCTTTACTTTCTCTGTGAAGACTTTGGCATAATTTACTAGTCCCCATATACAATTGTAATTAAGCCTAATTTGGGAGGCAATGTTTTTTTGGGATGCAGCTTATCTATTATTATGAACTGGATTTTATTGTTAGCCACTATGTCTATTTTTTAATGAAAAGTTGGGATTTCCTGTCATTTCCCTTTTCACTGATATCTAGAAAGTTCATGCCTCTCATTCTCTGCAAAGTACCATGTACATTGTTATATAAATAATTTTTATTCATAATAACAAGAACGAATGAATTATTCAGAGTCTATTGTTCTTTCTACAAAATATGTCATTGATCAAATCAACTATTATAGACCTCTTGGGTTTATCACCCACTTAAAGAAGCAAAGAGGAATTATATAAGGAAAACAAACTCAAATCTTAGCTGAAAAAAGATACTAGCCTTTATAGACCCACTGAGTGCACCCCCCTGGGTCCTGTCGGTGCAACCTATTTAACTATTTCCCCTCCAGCACTCTCTCATATATGGTAACGTCACATACCTCCCCCCTTAAGAAGTTTCGATTCAGGAGGGTTAACTTCTTAAAGTTACACTCCTGATCAAACAGTTTTGTATGCGGTTTTGGGGTTTTTTTTATATCTATCTATATACATACATAAACAAGTAAAGGAGTTCTGAGAGGAGTTCTGGGAGTTAGTTCGTTGGGAGTTGTGGGTGGGTGGGTAGTTGGTTGGTTAGAGTGGGTTGGCTGGTTGGGAAAGGCAGTTGGTAATAGAGAGACAGTTAGGGCACTTGGTCCTTGAGTGTGGGGTGGTAGCAGAGATAGAGAAAGGGACATAAGAATAAGAAAGTAAAGAAGAACACTGTTTGGAATGCCGTAATAGTTTTGTTTTAAGTCTGAAATAAAATACACTCTTCTTTATGAATTGGGGAAAAAAGAAAAAGAAAAAAGATACTAGCCTTTGGTACTCAAGCACAGTGGTGTACAAGGGTGTTTCAAGTGGTCAGTATAGATAAAGGCTTAGATTACAAAATATGTTTATTGTTTCATGTACATGAAGTTGTTGGCCACATTACCTTTGACAGGCATAGAAATAAAAAGAAGAAAAGTGAGCTTCTTTAATTAAGAAGCTGGAAAATTGGTTTATTCTAGTGCACACATCACAAGCAACAGAAAACCACAATGAAATCCAAATGTATGCCTTTTTGGGGTAAGCTACACTTCATTGAACCTACCTGGACCACTCAACATAGCTTTTATTGTTCCCGATGTGAGTGCATGCTCTCTTTTAACTATGAACTCATGGCCATCCGAGGATATCAATTTCACATACATAGCATCAGGGCCTTCACAGCCCCCATATGTCTTCTCTTCTCCATCTATAATACACAATTATTATTCTACTTCAATTAATGTATGTTAGAAAGCGTAGGAATAAATGAATGAGAAAATATTAAATTTCATTTTAATGTTTAATTATATGTTAAATTAAGAACAGTAAATTAAGAAATGCAAGAACACTAGAAACACTAACACAGTCAAAGTGCTCCAATAACTTTTTGACCAAAGACTCCTGAGCAAACTTAATAGTAGTGAGATAAGAGGAAAGATCTTCTTGTGAAATCAGCACCTGGTTAAAAAACAGGAAGCAATGAGTTGGAATTCACAGACAGTTCTCACAATGAAGGGATGCAAGACATGTCTGCAAGGATCTATGTTGGGATACTTAACTTGTTCATGAATGACCTGGAGTTAGGAGTGATCAGTGAAGTGGATGGAAGAAATATAGGAAGCTACAATATACCAAGCAAGACCACTGGTGCATCTAGCTCAGTATCGACACATACTGGCAGCAGCTCTCTATGATTTCAGACAACAGGCTTTTCCAGTCCTACCTGGAGATACCAGGGATTGAATCTAATACCTTCTGCATGCAAAGAAAGTGCAGTGCCGCTAAGCTATAGCCTTTTCCAGGTCAATGTGATTCAATGCAACTAGGTGTAAAGTGGTAGACTTTGGGGCAAAAAATCCTAACTTCATATTACACTGTTGGGGTCTGAGTTGGCAATGTGGAAAAAATAAACACCCAAAAGAAAAATGCATGTACTTCTATTCTTCCATTATCAGAAACACATATGCAACAGTCATGCATGTACACAGCACTCTTCCTTTCTCTCCCACACATACATACATACATGCAGACAAACACATTCATACACCAGACATGCAGGCACACATAAATACATTTTCAGCATTTCCAGGCTTCTTCACTCCAGCACTGGAAGATCTCTAAAGAGTTGGCAGAGGGGTTTAATCACCTGATCTTGGCACGAAGCACCATGGTGCTAAGCTCAGAGATAAAAGTAGAAGGGAGTATTTTTCTCCACCCCCACTTTGATGCTGGGGTTAATGGAAATGCTGCCTTTTACTCTGAAAGAGCAGGCAGAGGGCTTATCTCCAATCTTAGCACTGAGATTGGACAAAAGAGACAGCTCTGCCTGCAATTTAAGGCCTTATGTTCAAGCTCCATAAAATGGCATGGGATGACCAGGAAGTGAGTGGGATCTGCTGGAACAGGCCTAGTTGGCTAGACAAGGATGTGGCTGGCCAGAGGCTACCTACCACTGCCACAGACATCTGGCTGGTCACTGTGGGAAACAGGATGCTAGACTAACTATGTCTTTCTTCTGATCCAGCAGGGCTCTTCTTCTAGCTTTTATCTCCTTAGTTGCTCAGCACCTTTTCACATTGGATGGGTGCTGATCTACTAATCTGAAATCCTTGAAACTACTGAAGTGTTTTCTCATTGATGTTTAAACTCTGTTAACTTCCTATTATATCAATATGAAAATGCAAGATTTGCAACTTCACCTAGAAACAAGGGAAATATTTCCTTCATCTCAGCATTGTTGATAGAAACTAACAGAAAGCAGTTGCAGGTGGCTGGTGCATTATTTCAACCAAATGGCTTTTGTTCTTTGGTATAGTACATGTCATTTGGAACTCTTCCTTGATAGAAGCTAGGCATTAAATACATATACAATTTCATGCATTAAACAAGTAGAAATAAGCTTTACAGCACAATGCAGGACAGGTCTACTTATAATTAAGTCCTAATGAGTGCAATGCCATTTATTCCAAGGGATTATAGGATTGCAGCCTTGTTCTGTTTCTTCCCTTGCCCCCATATGCCCCATTCATTCCAGCCAGTTATCAAGTATACTGTAGAACTTCCTGGGCTTGGTTTGTAGGGACATAAGGCAGCCACTTTGCAAACACTAAGCAGATCTCGGTCTGATCTGTGCTAAGAGGTATTCCAGAAAAGAGAGTTATGTACAAAAGCACCACAAGTAATTACAGAATTGTAGAGTTTGAAGGGACCACAAGGGTTATCTAGTCCAACCTCCTGCAATGCAGGAATCTCCTTGCTCAATGTGGGTCTTGAACCCACAACACTGAGATTAAGAGTCTCATCTACCAACTGAGCTATCCTGTATTGTTGCTTTCAAGATGTCATTAAACATTTTACCAAAACATGGAGAAAATAAAACTAGGCATTTATGATATGCTTACAAAGCAAAGGTGGTTGCCAAAGATATTTTTCACAGTACACTTACCCATCTCTTCTTATCAGATGGTTGGTTCTTTGCTCCTAGAGCCTTTGCAATAATATCTGAAAACAAACAGAAAAGTACATATACATTTAAGTTCATTGCTAAAAGCAAAATACGTGGATTGGTGGCAATGTAAAAGGTCATAAACGGCAGTCCTTTCTATAACTGATATTAAAGTTAAATAAAAACATGGCTCAGCTATGTTTACTGTGCCACATTACCACATCACATGTAGACCAGTGTTTTCATTAATCAGTACCAACCAGTATGAGATCAAGGTCACCCAAAACTTCTTATTGACTAACCAATCCCATGACAATTTCCAGGAATAACCTCATAATCTCATCTGGGTGTTTTTTTGGCCACAAGACTCCAATTCAGATCTCAGATCCAATTAGATAGGTTAACTTTGGGGCACTGTCTGAATACATGCCTAACAATGGCTTTCTACCAAAGTATTTTTTTTTGGCTTATTGGAACTACTTTTTCCTCAGGTCCTGCTTGAACCAGATTCTCACCCCAAAAGAGGTAAGTTATCTGAATTATTCATACATACCTTTTTAACTTCATGACTAGATTACTGTGATGTGATTTATGTGGAGCTTTGCTTGAAAAGAGTTAGGAAATTTCCAGTGGCCCAGAATAAGGCTACCCAGATGTTGGCCACGGAAAGCCAAGAGAGCATATAAGGGTCTTCACTGGATACAAGTTGCCAGGCTCAACTCAAAATATTGGTCCTCAATATAGTCTCAAGGTCAATTTTCAAGGCACTGGCCCTCCAAGAAATAACCACTCCCTTAAGTTCATTTGGGAGATCCAGTTCCAATAATAATAATAATAATAATAATAATAATAATATGTGTGCATGTATATGTATATACTACCCATCTGATTGGGTTGCCCCAGTCACTCTGGGAGGCTCCCAGCAAAAATAGTAAAAACATAATACAACAGTAAAAACATAATACAACATTAAACACTGAAAACTTCCACATATGATATGTAATTAAAAGTTTTCTATTGTCCAACAGGACTGATTTATCCTTTGCTTTTGTAGGTAGGTGGATGCCTTTTATTCTACTTAGCTTCTATAGACAGATGGACTTTTTCATAATACAAATTTAGTACTATAACAAACAAACAAACAAACAAACACACAAACAAACAGTAAAATGTGTTTTCATTTTGAATGGTTTATTAAATTATATTATTTAGGTGCTTTGGGGTTTATTTTTGCTGAGAAGTAGCAATAAACATTATTTCATTGAGACAAGTTATACTTCCTATGAGCCGGTAAGCACTCTTTCAGGGTGCAAGGGAAGAAACAATGAAAGAAGGGACAACCACAATGGGCACAGATAGGGACTGGAATCACCTTTATAGTCACTTCCTTCACTATTTAAGAATACAAGTTAATCAAAACAACAAAATTCACTGTTGCACAAGTGGACTTTGGCTCACACAGTGGAACTTCCCCTCCCCCCCCCCAAAAAATTATGGATGATCCCCCAGCATTGGGGGTGCAGGGAAGAAAAATGCAACACAAACACACAAAACTGTTTCACTACCATCTCATATCACAAATCAGCCAAAGAGAGAACACACCACCATCAAAAAAACACTTAAAACTGAATGACCTACCCTTCTACATTAATGAAACTTTGGGTCTTGGCCACTTTCTTGCCTAGTCATGCCACTCCTATAATGTCTCTTCCCAGTCTCAATGGAGTTCTTAGCTAACATAATGGCTACTGCAGATTTCACACCCACCAGTGATCAACACCATACTTGGTTACACCCAAGTTTTGAAAAAAAAAAAAAAATCCATTATTGCAAAGGAATAATATCTGACAACTTATGCAAGTTCTGGGGAAGAAATAACAGAGCAGAAGAGGGAAGGTTATTTACAACCAGCACAAGCCTGAAAGTTTTCATGGATGATGTAATTAATGGTTGCTATATCATGTCACTCCAAAAACTTATGAGAAGCCCCTTTTGTTTCCTGTCTACTTTATAAAGGATTAGGTGTGCCCCATGATTTATCACAGCTCAATAAAAGGTCCCATTACCACATTTCTAAAAAGATATTTAATTGTTCTGCCAACTATTTTATGGAAGAGCATCAAAGATATAAGACAATGACTTCTTTAATTTTGTTGACAGTGATAAAAGACAACAGAAAGAGAAGTTTTGACCTTTAGAATATAAACCATCTGTATGTTGTAAGCAGCATAACATCCACCAAGCTTTTTGCATAGTTTTCCAGATATAAGAATCTGTTATCTGCTACTTTCCCACACTGTGTATCTGCTAACGTTCTTGTATTCAGCCTACCAATTCCCCACCCAACAAATGCACTGCAAGCAGATCTCCTGGTACAAGCTTTATATTGTAGTTATTCAAAAGGTTGCTGGATACCAACAGCTATTTAACACTTAGGCAGCAGATTTTCTAAGAGTAGCTCTGCTGAATTTATCATGGGGCAGGGAAGCATATGAAGGTCTCTTTGAATAATCAGCATACAAGCAGACTGATTAATATTCTGTCTACATGCTATAATGAATATCAACTGAAATGAAATTTAGAAACAAACTAAATAAGAACTGGAATTTGATCAAATTTGTAACTGAAAATAATATTTGGGCCACTGAAGATTATGGGAACAACCCTACCCCATAGCAAGATCTGCAAGGATGAGTGGCATTATGATCAGGCAGATCTCCGACTGACCCTGGAGGTTGCTAGGACAGTAAGGCTATGCCACCTTAACTCCCCCATCCTTGGGTCATTCAGAGCTACACTGGCATATCTCCACTTCCCAGCTGGAACCCAGCAACTGAGCTTCCCTTGCAGATCTTAAAATAGCATAAGCCCTGAGAATGGGGTATTCCAGGGGTGTGGTGGTGGGAGGACCAGAGAGGGAGGATTTGGGCTTATTCATGTGACCTGACAACCCATTGTAAGTTAAGCTAGCAAAATGGGAACTTTACCTCAAGCAATATTTTAAAAGCTTATTCTCCCTCTGTCAGGCTTAGGCCAGCTCAGCCAGCAGTAGCCGTTTCTGAATGAATATTGGATCTGGTGTAATTTATGCAGGTTTAATTTAAGCTGGGTTTACCATTCACCAGTTTATTGTGTATAGGACTGCTCCTATATGTATGTCTCCTGTAAAAACTGCCCCCACTACCTGGTACAAAAAATAATAATTTTAACTCAATGTATTCTCAAGCGCATCTGAAAGAAGTTTTGTTTTGATTTGCCGATTAATTCACCCACAAACAATGAACTGGAATATGGCTAATTGTGTGATTCATTATTTTTATGGCAACGCAATGAAAATTATGCCCATTAATACACAAACACCATTAAGATTAATCATATGAAAAGAGGAAGTTCTGGAATTTCTGAAAGAAAATGATTAAGATCTACTTATATTGTGACCTTTAGAATACATGCAGCAGGTGCTACATCAGAGGAGCTTTGAACCAGAACAGTTAAAGTCATGAAGTGAGCTCCTCTCATTTACTAGGCCATGGGCCTGGCTCTTGATATCCCCACCTTGAACAATAAAGATGGATATCAGACACCGGTCCTTTCTAGTGGTTACACATTGGTCAAGAAACTCTGTTTCTCCGCCTATTCACCTGGTCCCTCCGTTAACCGATTTTTAAAGCAACAAGAAAAAACTGCTTTGTTTTGCTAGGCGGGGTGGAAATAACTCAAGTTCTGTATTTTAATTCAGGTTGTTTTGTGGCATAAGCTGTTTTAAAATACCAGCAAGAGCCACTTGGGAACCGAGGCTAAAAAACAGGGGGGTTCACTGCATAAATAAAGGCTGATTTCAGATCACTCACTCCATGCCTAAACAATACACTGAAAGACTGCTTTCCGAGACTTGGGACGTGAAGATCCCCCTACCCGGCGGTTTTAGGAAAAGAAGGGTTAGAAGCCAAGCAACACTGAAATCTGGGTACACTCGGGTTTTAACTGATGAGGAAAAAGAAGCGCGACAGTGAGAGGAAAATCCAGACGCGAGATCATGTGGAATGAAAAAAGCGCAGGCCGCATGGAGACTGTGATGTGGATGTAGCTTTGGGTTCCTCCTCAAGGCGGTGGGACTGAGGTGGCCCTGGGCTCTTTCGACAGAAGTGGGCCGTCTGTTTCGTATATGGGGCGGCGGTGGCGGGGGAAGAGTCTGAGGCAAACGGAAGAGTTTTCGGGGGGCGAGTCGGGGTGGAGAAAAGGGAGAGGACGAAGTGAGGCGAGGACGGCGCAGCTCTGCGCGGCAGGGCAGCTGAGAGAGGATAGAAAAGCGCCGCCCGGCGAACGCGTTCGGTTCCTCAGGCTCAGCGGCGCCTCGGTCGCAACGGGATCTGCTTTTCACCCGGCCTCTTCCCAAAGTCAACAGGACGGGAGGAAAAGGGTCCCCGACGGCAGTCACAACCCGCGGAAAGGGAAGGAAGGGGTTTGCCGGTCGGCCCCACCCGCTGGCGCTCCCCCGTCCCCGCTCACCTCTGCCCTGCCAGCGCCCGAAAGATATTCGCCGAGTAGCTTCTCAGGCCCCTCACGGTTCCAGCCGGGACAACCGCCCCCCCTCTCCGCCCCAAACCACTTCCTTTCGGTCACAGACGCCGGTTTCCGGTCTCCGAAGTGGACGCGCACGGAAAACCATAGAGAGAGGGAGGGGAGAGAAAGGCTGAAGTAGCGCCCCCTGTAGTTCCCCTCTGATTCGACAATAACAAAGAGGCACCGTAAAAAGATTGGTTTTAAGTCTTTGAGGCAGGGTGATCTGGGGTCACGAAGAGTCGGACACGACTAAACGACTAAACAGCAACAATCACAACAATCTGTAGCCCTCCACATGTTGCTGAACTCTCAATGATCAGGAATGATGGGAGTTGCAGTCCAACGTTTGTATCTGTAGTTTCAGGTTCCAGAAGCCACAGGCTAACACGGCTACCTTTATGAAAGCTGATCTAGGCATTTTTAAAATTTTTATTTACTTTTGCGCTGCAGGTGGGAAAGAGAAATGCCAGACAAGTAAAAGGAACATCCCATTTCCAGGCAATGGGAGTGTCGCTACAGCGCTTTAAGTTTATAAATAAAGCATACACAATATAAACAAATCCCATCGCTTTATTGGGGGAAAACTCGATATTTGCATCCTCGGGATCACGGGGCCACAGTTCCCGGTAATTTCTCCTGTGGGATTTCCTTAGTTGCGCAAGTTCTTTCTATCTATGCAAATGACAAGGGGTCGGCTTCAGTTTTACATTGAGGAGCCCAGTATACCCATGTCACGGGATTTTAATGCTATGCTATTGCAGAAACAGGCATGCGCTCCTCATCCTTCAGTCTACGTAATTCGTATAATACAGTAGTGGCCCGGGAAAACCCCAGCCGCGTCGGGTCTGCGTGTCCGTGGCATGCTGGGAAACGTAGTTCGCAAGAGGCTGCTTCACTAGAAATTGCCAGCCGCGCATGCGTACACATCGGAGTGGCGGCAATTCGCCGCGCGGAAGGGGCCCAACCATCAGTCAAATCCCACGGGAGGTAAAAGACCGATACAGGAACTCCCTGTCTCCGGAACGGAAGAAGCGGCAGGCTGAGTGACGCGCGCTTTCGCCACCCGGAAGGGCTGAGCTGCTCTCGCGAGACTTTGAAGTATGTCAGCCGCCGCGAGAAGGCGGAGGTTTGAATCCTCCTCCAGTGGCGCCCGCTAAACCGTCGCGGCAGCTGGAATCCCTTTATCGGGAGGCCGATCTTCTGCAAGCTTTACTCGGAAGTAAGTCGAGCAGAGGGGGTTGGGCTGGCGGGCGACGGAGCCACCAGCTGTCTTGGCTCTTTTGCGCAAAACAAAAAACAAAGGGCAGTTCAATGCAGAGTAGATCCATTGATCCGTGATAACTTGGGTTCATTGATTTCAGTGGATCTGCTCCGAGTGTAACTTAGTTGGGTGCAATCCTACAGGGAAACGAGCCTCGCCGCACCGTAAAGACTAGACAGATTTAGACTGCAGTTCCGTGCACGCATAAGCTTCCCTTGAACCCAGTGGTGGGTTACTTTTGAGAGGATATGTACAGAGTTGCATCGTTAAAGCTGCAATCCTAGACACACTTGAGAGGCCAAGTCCCCTTGGAGCCTGAGAGACTTAGTCATGCACAGGGTTGCAATGCTAGGCTGCAACCCACTGCACACTTACTTTGGAGTTAGCCCCATTGAACAAAGTGGGGCTTCCTTCTGAGTAGGTGTGCGTGCCTAGGCCTGCACCGCTGTTGTGGCTGTAGCATGTCCAGAGCTACATTCCTTTTGCATGCAGTAAGCCCACCAGTAATGTTCTGGGGTTCACACCTAAAGCCAACATCTTGTACTGTCCCAACACATTGGGTTCAATGGCGGGTGGGATTGCCAGCGTCTCTCTCTCTCTTTTTTTTTTTTTTGCTGGACGCCTGTCCCCTTTCCATTTATTTTTTAGACAAGTGTGTAAAGCTGAATACGTACAAGTTAAAAGAGTGTAAGTTGTGGACTTACTGTACTTCATTGGTAGTAAATGTGCATGGATGTGGTGCTAAATCGAGATCTGCCATTGAATGTGATGGGGTGTGCTCTCAAACACATGTAACTGGTAAGTATTCTGCCTTTGTTGAAACGGGAGCCAACCTTCTGGAGAATTTGACATCCGGAAAAAGTTAATCCTCTGAGGCCACCAGGAGCTGACTAGGCCATGCCACACTTGATCTGGTGGTATCTGACACACAAAAGCTTCAGCCACAATAAAATATGTTGGTAAAAAGGAAAAAGTCTAATACGGCTGTTGTTGTTTAGTCGTTTAGTCATGTCCAACTCTTTGTGACCCCATGGACCAGAGCATGCCAGGCACTCCTATCTTCCACTGCCTCCCACAGTTTGGTCAGACTCATGCTGGTAGCTTCCAGAACACTGTCCAGCCATCTCATCCTCTGTCGTCTCCTTCTCCTTGTGCCCTCAATCTTTCCCAACATCAGGGTCTTTTCCAGGGAGTCTTCTCTTCTCATGAGGTAGCCAAAGTATTGGAGCCTCAGCTTCAGGATCTGTCCTTCCAGTGAGCACTTAGGGCTGATTTCCTTAAGAATGGATAGGTTTGATCTTCTTGCAGTCCATGGGACTCAAGAGTCTCCTCCAGCACCATAATTCGAAAGCATCAATTCTTCGGCGATCAGCCTTCTTTATGGTCCAGCTCTCACTTCCATACATCACTACTGGGAAAACCATAGCTTTAACTATATGGATCTTTGTTGGAAAGGTGATGTCTCTGTAACTTCCTTAGTTGGAATTTCTACTCTGCTGGATTTACCTCTGAGTGAGGAACGTCCCAGTTCATCCACCCAAACAGGAGATGGACAGCATTCCATCAACTTTTCTCTGGCAGCATTCCTGCTGGTGGTAACCAGCAGAACCCCCCAAAGCAGGGTGATTTGGGGCAGGGAGCGGCTGAGTATGCAGGATCTGCTGAATATTGTGCAGACTGCTGCCATTGTGTGATGGCAGTGGACTCAACTGGGCCTTCTTGCTGTCTTAGCCTGGAAGCTAATGCAGCAAAGCAGCATTTTTTACTGCCAGCTCTACAAGATAGTTGAGATTATCATCAAGCAATTACTACAGTGTTTTTCTGCATAGTATTGACAGGCAACTATGGGTTGGCTAGTTTGTAATCAACATGTAAAATTATATATATTCTATCCAGCAAGTGGAAAAAAAACATGTATAGTTTACTGTATTTTTTGTATGTTCTGTTTGTCCTTTTTTGCAGAACTTTACTTAAAAGTATATTTTCTGTTTATCACTCTATACTTTCGTTTGCTACAGATATTTCTGAAGCCTGTTGACAAGCCTCTACAAATATCCAAGGTTGAAGACTGATCTTGAAATCATGGACTGTGGTCCCAAGTTTGTTGAAACTCTAAAGAGGATTGGCTATCCAAAGGCAGATTCTCTTAATGGAGAAGACTTTGACTGGCTGTTTGAAACGCTGGAAGATAAGTCATTTCTAGAATGGTTTTGTACAACATTGAATGAGAGTCATACCTTATCTGAAGAAGAGCTGCAGTCATTTAATCTGCTCCTTAAATCAGCAAACCCACTATTAGAAGAGGATGCTCTAGATGAAGCTCTGAAGACATGTAAGTCTCTTGAAATTAAAACCAACAGTTGTGATGAAGACAAAGAAGAAAACCTTAAAATATTAGAGGATGAGCTTCAGACCCTTCAAAAAAGGAAACACCTAAAAAGCCGTCGTCGGAACAAGCTTCAAACAGTGGCCTCAGCTAATAACCTTCTGTGCCTGAAGCTGAAAGACACAGGAGAGGAAAAGCCTAAAACCCTGAAAGAGGCGCAGGGAATTCTCAATGCCATGAATACAAAGATAAACAATGAGCTGCAGTCTCTTACTCAAAAAATTGGAAAGTTGACTTCTTTCTTTGCTGTTGCATCCAGACAACAAGAATTGGACCCTGCTCCTGTCCTTTTAGCTCAGCTTGCCTTAGATAAATACTTGTGTCAAGAAGAGCAAAGCACAGCAGCCCTTACTTTGTATACAAAAAAACAATTTTTCCAAGGTATATCTGAGTTGGTTGAAAGTTCTAATGAAGAAAATTTCCAGCTTGTAGATATAAGGAATTCTTTTACTTCTGATGAGAGCAATGATGTGTGTGAGGATAGGCAAGAGCTAACCAGGTTGAAGATGGCTTATGTTTGTGCTCGGCATCAGCTGATTCAGCAAGAAGCTAAGAATCTAAGCATGAAATCGGGTCTCCGGTGGGCGGAGGATAATATTTGTTCTTTAAAGAAGGTATGTATTGAAGATTATTATTTCACAACCAGACTTTGTGTCACTGTACAGATACTGTATAAAGAGTATGGGGTGTAGCCAACAAAGCCATTACTCCTGTTCCCTGGAAAGAAAGGAGAAGTTCTGTTGTATGAGCAGAGGTTGGTGTGTGAGTGCCATGACAATTAGACTTTACCCTGTCAATGTGAAGTTGAATCAGTTTTAAGTTTTTTAAAATTCTATTTTAATTTTAACCATCAGGCTACTTTTAAAAAAAAACAACTTAAATTGGATTTTATATATATCTTCAGTCAGTTTTTAATTAATGAGACTGTAACTAAAATGGCATTACAGGTTTATTGTTGATGGCTATAAAATTATTGAGGTATTGAGCCTTATTAGTATTTTTTTTGTAGAGAAGCATTTCTTTGTGTATCTGTCTAATTCCTAAAGTAACGTTTTGAATCTTTAATTTATTAAAATTTGTTCTTCCTTTATTAAAGAAGCTCAGTATCTGAATTTGGAACTTGTTAGTGACAGTAGAAGTGTATGGTTTACAGGATCCGTTTGTTTGTTTGTTTGTTTGTTTGCAGACTCTTGGAAAAGAAAATGTTGAAACCAGAATTTCTAGCCTGAACAGCGACATTTCAAAACTCAAAAAGCACTTGGCTCAAATAAACAATGAAACTCTATCTTTGCTAGTAAAGGAGGATGCAGAGCTATTGAATATGCCTGTGGTGAGGGGTGACTTTGATTTACAGATTGCTCGACAGGACTACTACATATCAAGACAAGATCAAATTTGTAATCAGTTGATCAAACAGAAGGCATCCTTTGAACTTCTTCAGTTGGCTTATGAAATTGAGTTGAGAAAACTTAGGGATAATAGCCGTCTCCTAGAAAATATAGTACAAGATCTGAAACAGAGCAGTAATACTTTGGTGCAGGTACTAGAAACAATGTCAGAGCCATCAATATCCCATCATAAAATACCAAGAAAAACTATTGATTCAAAAGATACTACTGCACAGAGGTAAGCAGTTGATTATTGATAGAATTATGAACGTATTAATTGAAGTCTGTTGTGGAAAACTAACTAATCCTAAATGTGGAAGTAAGTTCCATTGAAATCAGTGGGCTTTTCAAAAAGATAACCACTCTGAGCCAGCACAGCGATTTGAATGTATTGGGTTGGCCTTTGCTGATGATCTTAATTCTTTATACACATAAATGTTCCTGGCCTTAGAATGTTTTCAGCTGCTTTTATGTATGGAGGCATGCCTTCTCCCAAGCTTAAGCATTTATGAACCGAATTGAGGTTTTAGGCCTGGATACTTGCATTTAAGCTGATTATCAAATTAGGAAGTCATGCTAACTGAACCTATGCAGAATCATCATGCATAAGCCTATTTAAATCATTGGATTTAACTTATTTTGGGGTTGGGATAGCTTATGTGGTTTCTCATATGAATTAAGAATGTGTGCAACTCTAGTATAGCCAAACTTGTAACAATTATTTCCTGTGTAATGGGCTGTATATGAGAGAATTAATTGGACCAACTTTGGTCTCATAATTTTGCTATTTTCTGCAACTCTTTCACAGAGTTACAGAGAGAAAACAAAAACTACTGTTGTGCCATACTTAAAGGAACAACCAGTTTCTATAAATGAGTTTTACTGAAATAATTGCATTGATCCCCCTTTATTGTGTATTCAGGCTGCTTTTGGAAGCTTCCTTGTACATCAGCAAATCTTATTTCTTGTTTTCAAGGCTGTGTCAACTTCTGGAAGGAAGTAATTCAAAACAGTTGTTCAGAACATATGAAGGCCTTGAGCAGATGGCTGAAAAATTACATCTAGACAAAATGTCAGTGGTTGATCAATTAGCAGTATCTAGCCAAGAACAAATTCTTCTGTCAAAGATGGATGCTGATCTAGGCTCACTTCGCAATTCTATGTACTGTGGAGGAGAAAGGGTCTGTCTTAGTAACCTGGTGAGTAACTGGATTAGGATCAGTTCTGATTGTAGTTGTATAGTGTGCTTGATAATATTTATCATTTTCACATTGAACACCAAGGAATCTGCATGCTATTTGCAGTGGGCCTCCACAAACAAGGTAGACAGAAGTGAATCCTCCTGAAGTTCTGAATAATTACTGGCATGAACACTCTAGCCCAGGTCTGCCCTTTCTGTTGCTTGACCATATTCGCTGCCAACAGCTGAGGCTCAGGGTAGTGAGCTCTGGCATATACTCTCTCCCTAAGCTAGAACTGGACACATGGCTTTAGGAATAGGGAGTGCAGGATATCTGGCCAGCACCTTCTACCTCCTCTCTTAAGTTCCAAACTACTCAGCCACCACAGGAGAGAGGTGCTGTCTTTGCTCCAACCCATCAAGCTTTCCCATCTTGTCTGTGTTTTGATGGGTGCCACAGGATGTGCCTTTTGGCTCTGACCACCTAGCTAGCCAGAAGCTGATTTTTTTGATAGGAGTTGATGCTTTCCAAGAAGACAAAAACATCAAGTCCTGCACAGTTTTTCTCTTTTTGAAAATTAATTGGAACCTGCAAGAACTGACCCCTGTGAGTTCTCTACATGAGCTTAAGGGGCTCAGGAGGAAAGGGTTTATGGCAACCACAACTAACAGCTTGGTGACAACTGAGCCAAAATCCATGGATCCCTAATCTAGGTCATAAATTTGGGCTTTTTAAAGGAGCAAACTTTAAAAATGTATGGCTAGTAGCTGCCGAAATTTGCAAGAAGATAGTGTGGTGGTTTTCTACTTCAACCTGTATTTAGAGTACACATAAACTGATCTTGTTATTGTATTTGTCCCCATATTTAGGAACTGGCTGAGCAGTTTCACCAGCAGGAATTTCTGTTGAATAAACTGAATCTTCTTATTGTGGATCTTCTTGCTGATATAAAGGCTAAGAAGAAGGTTTTGGAGAATGATAAATTACAACAGATGGAAAGAAAACTGTGGGTGTACTTCTTCAAAGATGAAGAATGCTTGAAGAATGCTGTGGAGAGAATGGAACAGCAGGCTAAGACTCAAGCCTTGTCTTAAAGATTAAATTTTAGATATGTGTTTGTTTGAAATATTTTTTGTGTCTTGTACTGAACTTTGAAATGTAACAAATGGAGGAAAACTCAGAAAAAGGCTTTTCCTGCAGCATCAGGAAAGCACAAAGTGTGTGAGGCACTCAGTTACTGAATCAGGCAATTGTGCATCTTAAATAGTTCGAGTATGGAGGGCAAAAATAATATGAGAAATGTCTTCAGAAGACAAGGCCTAATTATTTTTAAGTTAACTAAAAACTATCAAGAAACAAACAGAGGGGGAAATCTTATGGTTGATATCCAGCAAAATAACTGTCAGAATAGACCTGCCAGAATAGTTCATTGGTTTCAGTGGGTCTCCTCTGAGTATGATTTAGTTGCATATTAACATACAGTAGCTTGCCACAAGGCTTCCAATATTTATCATACTGTTTTGGATGAGAAGGTTTATCATATTTTATTTTATGCAGGACAAAAAGCACCAACTCAGAATTGGAAGATAGTTCATTCCTCAGAAAATTGGTCCATTGGCCTTTTCTCTTTCTAGAATTAACAATTCATCATTGCACCATTCTCTTACTATGTAGACCACATCTTGTATGTATATAAAACATTCCAAGTATGCCTATTTTTGCCTAATGCTTGTATAGCTTACATTACCTACCACAGACTTTACTTCCCTGATGTTCTGCAGAATACCTTACACAAAGACCCACAAATTGTCCAACACTTAGCTACAAGTAAGCTCTAAATGCAGTGGGACTTACTTCTGAGTGGAAATATATAGGAAGCACTGTTACTATACTGTACTTAATGCACAATTAAGGATTGTTGTCTTTAATCTCAATACGTAATTCCCATAAACCCTATAGAGTTTAATATTACTTCCAAGTTAAGTGCTTTTTCAATTAGACTGTAAATGTTGATATGACTGAAGTATGATTTAGTGTTCTAAGTAAACCACTAAACCACCTTGGGCTAGTCACACTTCTCTGAAGTCTCTCAGCCTCACTCACCTCACTTGTTGTGGGGGAGGAAGGGAAAGGAGATTGTTAGCCACTTTGAGACTCCTTAAGGGGAGTGAAAGGTGGGGTATCAAGTCCAAACTCTTCTTCTTCTAATACATTTTTTAAAAGTTTCCAGGTGTTTATTTTTTAGTGGTAGAAAATCTGTAGAAAACGTGGTCTATTGTTCTCCAGTGCATATAATGCACTCCCAAGGAACCCTGGGGCCTCTCCTACTTTGTATTCAACATTTTCTGAGACAGGTTTATGACTTACTGAAGCCCACACCGTAATCTTTATAGCTGAGCTAGGATTTTAACTTGAATACTCCTACTCCAAATCCCAGCATTCCATTCACTAATTCACACTGGCTTTTCAAATGAATTGATGTGGATTACTTCACTTGCTTTCTGAGACAGACCATTCTGCGGAATTGGTGAGGGGCATAGTGGATTCTGAATTTTTGTCAGATTGTCAGGGTTCTAAATCACATCTTATAAGGTTTTGTGATTATACTAAATGGCTAGGTCAACCCAGTTGTATGGGTGAGGCATATTCTTATTTTGTTGCTTGTGCTATGATTTTAAACACTAAAATCTGCTCCATTTTTATCCCAACCTTCCTTAGGATGGTGGTATATTATTATTATTCCCTGCCCCACACTTATTTTATCCTGAAAACAACTATTTGAGGTAGGTTAGGCTAAAAAGAAAATCACTGGCATAAAGTCTACAGTGAGCTTCATAGCGATTTTAACTTTGGTTTTCCTGGTCCTAGTCCAACCCTAACTCCTACACTTCAGTCTCTGCTGTAACACAGTTGCCCTATAATTCACACATTGGCGTAGCTGTAGGCACAGTTTCACTTGGTATTTTAGTGCAATATGGTCCTCTTCTGAACAGGAGCAAGTTCCCCCATTTAAATGCTCTGCTGCTGCAACTGCTAAAACAAAGCTTAGAGAAGTTAAGCTCAAATTCAAGCCAAAAGCTCAAAATGTTATGGAGTAACTTGACTATAAAAGAAGCACATGTGCTCATAGTGCCTGTAGTTTTGAGTGGCTTAGGTCAAAAGTTTTCAACTTTTTTGAGTCCACGGCTCCCTTGACTAACTACATTCTTTCTGTGGCACCCCTGTGGGGCTTAGGAGCCCAGTTATGTCACCCCTTGCCTGTAGAGCTGAGTGTCCCTCACCCTTTCTTGAATACCCTCCCTTGTGGAGTGTTCCCTCAGCCTCTTCTTGGGAGTCCTCTGGACAGTCACTGCTGCCATCCCTGGTCTCTTGAGGTGCCCCACCCCAAAGAGAGGTGCCTCCTGACACTGCTCCACAGGGGCCTGGGACTTGTCTGTCCATTCCCAAAGCAAGGGTTGGCAGACTAGCTGGTTGGGCTCCCTCGCCCACTTGCTTGCTTACTCCGAGGCTGCCTCAGCTCCTGGCAACCAGCCCAAGAGGTAGCATTTGCCAGGGGAGCTTGTAGCCAGGGCTGCTGCAACAAACAACTGGGCAAGCCTTTGGGAGGCAGGGGCATGAGAGGAGGGAAGGAAAGGGACAGAGGCCAATGTTGCCCACGGCATCCCTGACCATCATTCAAGGCACCCCAGGGTGCCATGGCACACATTGAAAACCACTGGCTTAGGTCATTAAGCCCTAATTTGTCAGAATGTTTTACATTTTAAATTATAACCCACATTGGATCTGTTGTTAATGTCGTATCTGACCTTCATTAAGGAAATGAGATTTCAGTATCTATCCATCCCACCATAAATATTGGGCCATCAAAAATCACACATTTATGCTGCAGTGAACACAACACTATTGCCAAGCAACACGTCCAGCCAAATCCCTCGAGCATGTTATTCCTGGAAACAACTGATTTGTCTACAGATAAGGAACTTATAGTATTTAAATGCCACTGTGCTCTTTTGAAAAAGTCTTAGGCCACCTCTAATCATGTTTGTGCTACCTGGTGTCTGTTTCAAATGATGTGTGCCACACCTGAAAGCAGCCCTGTTTAGGGAAATTTTTAATGTTTGATCTTTTTTGTGTTTGTAATATTCTGTTGGGACCCAGCCAGATGGGTGGGGTATAAAATAATAATAATAATAATAATAATAATAATAATAATAATAATTAAACTTGGTTATTTATGCCAACCTGGGCAGAGCATTTCCCAATACAAGACCATAGATAAAATGGCCCTGTGGCTTTATTTGAGCTACAGCCCTGTTGTGGAATAAAACTACTTTGACCTAAAAACTGAAAACATGATGGGAAACTTTGGAACCCATGCAGAATGCTTTACTAAAAACAGTGCAGTTCCATGTGCTTGTGGCCTCTTGTTCTCTATAAATGTGCAATTTGCTCAACTGGCTCCCCCTCCCCTTTCAAATTTGATAAATAGTAAAACATTTTACTAATGTTATACCTACTTGTTTTTATGTTTCGCTTTTTTACTTTGTATTTCACTGACCAAAGCACACTTGGTGAGAAGGTGGGATAGAAATCTAATTAAGTTTACTCGCAATTGAGCCCCATTATGCTCCATATTCTTACTCTCCGGATCTTGATCTTAGGATCCCTTCCAGAAACAGCAGGGCCTTTAAAGACTAGAAATCTGAATATCATTTCTATTCTGTGATATTAAGCAGGGTCGGGCGGACTTCAGGCTTGCAGGATCTTTTGTTTTGTTTTGTAGACTAGAACAGGATTCTGGTTCCCAAAAAACCAAAAAGAATCCTGAGTCCAAAAGTGATGGCAGCTCACAGCCTTTTCACCCAATAAACCCAAACTTTCTTTAGTACAAATTAGGGCGGGAGCGGGGGTGTTGTTGCTGCTGTCCGAAAGAATCCTTGCTGCAGGTGTACTAACAGATCCCGATTTATCACCTAAATGGCCAGAATTCCAGGCAGGTTTGTAACCCAAAGATCCCGCTTTCCTAGCGAACGCCTGTCTTAAAATCCACGTGTGAGAAGCGAGCAAAGGCGAACAGGCTCCCAGCCCCTCCTTCCCGGCCAAGCTGCACCGGAAGGGGAAGGACGGAGGCGGCGGCGGCGGCTCTGCTTGCCCTGGATCTGCCTTAAGCAGAGAAGGACGTGGGTGCAGGAGATGCTGCTCCGGGCTGGGGTTCGCCTTCGCGCGCCCAGCCTCCGACTGTGGCTGCGGGGCACCGGGAGATGTCATGCGCTCCTGCTTACCGAGAAGCATCCTGGAGTCCTGGAGCCGGGCCGGCGCTCCGTGGCTGCCCTATGCAGGCCGCGACTCGGGTGGCGTGGAGCCCCGGGATCCCTCTCCGCGATCGTGGGGAGCGAGCAGGTGCTGCCGCTTGGAGCACTTCTTTTTCTAGTGTCCCGGGAGCGCTCGCTTTAATTCTGAAGGGGGTCAGGTGACAGGCGGTGGATAGTTCACTCATCAGATGCACTGCTAGCCATGAGCTATATGATTTAGTGAATGGTGCATGCAGATATAACAATCTGAAACTCAAAGTACATGTTTATCTGTTTTTGCTGTAGGTTCAATCTCTCCACGTGCAGCCTCTTCGCTGCTTCAGCACATCCTCCCTGCATGAAGATTCTGAACATGGCAGATTAGTTTATCGTGGAAATTTGGCAAAGGCAGTGCTAGGTGAGTATATTAGGGTTATGTGTCTTGTTATGCTTTGGTTTCGAACACTCTGAAGTATTTAAAATTACTTTTCACTGGGAATTGGGACCCTCTGTCCACCAGAAACTTGTGTGAAGGACGTAAGTCGGAATGCCTTGCTTCTATGGCAGTTGAGGATTTGCCAAGTGAATTTGATAGCTGGGGGGCAGGGAGTGTCAGCAGTGCAGCACTGCTTCTCCTGGTCTTTGATATGCCTAGTGGCAATATGTCATTCTCTGTAGCCCAGGGCTACATAATAATAATAATAATAATTATTATTATTATTATTATTTATACCCTGCCCATCTGGCTGGTTTTCCCCAGCCACTCTGGGTGGCTCCCAACAGAATATTAAAAACATGATAAAACATCAAACATTAAAAACTTCCTTAAACACTGTACATTTAAAGCACATTCTGCCCCCCTCCCCCAAAATCATAAGAACTGTAGTTTGTTAAGGGTGCTGGGAATCATAGCTCTGTGAGGGTTAAACAACAGTCATACGATTTTTTTTGGGGGGGGGGTGTCTAACATGGTAACAGCTGCCCTTCTGAGGATGCTAAGGCATGGTGGGAATGTATGGGCTCACAAGCTATTTTCAATCTCTAAATATTAATTTGTCTTTCTCTTGCAGGCGTGAAGTTCTTCTCTTACTCTACCAGCATGTTTAGTCTTAGCATGATACCTATTATCTTCTACAAAACTGGTGTGGCTGTTGACAACCTTCCCTTGCAAGTTATGTTTTACAGTGTTATAGGATTCTTTACATTTGTAACTCCAGTTACTCTGCATTTGATTACAAAGGGCTACATCATCCGCCTGTACCACAAGCCTGAAACAGACACATACACAGCTATTACCTATAATGCTATTTTGGCGGAAAAGAAAACTGTGTTCCATCAAAAGGATGTGAAGGTTCCCGACATCAGCAAGATGTTCATGACATTTTATGCTAAAACGAAATCAATGCTTGTTAACCCTATGCTTTTTCAATATCCTCAAGACTATAATCACCTTATGGGTTATGACAAGCCCTTCACGTTTGACTTCGAAGAATCAAAAGAATCCAGCGAAGGGAAATAGATGTTTCTGAATGAAATGTGTGTATACGTGCAGACTATTCAGAATTCTTTTATAGAATCCAGGATACAAAATCCCAGAGCAGTTTTTTTCTTCATTAAAAGTAGTTTGTTCAGTAAAAGGAACACTGATAAAAATGAATAAAACTGGAGTTGGTTACAAAAGGAATTTACATAAACGGGATGATGTTTGGTTGATATTTGATTAGCTTAAGGCTTGCTTTTAATCATACGAAAGAGTCTTTTGGTCATCTTTGGAAAATCAAATTAAGCCAACATATGCATGAACTCACACAGCTCTTTTACCCTTTATTCAAGCAGGGAAACAATTCAGGAAGCCGCATTAACCGTGGTTTTCCATTTCTGATGTAACAGGAATGACAGTTAATGACTTTCCAAACAAGCCAGGATTCAGAACCATTAACTATAGCTTCCTGTGCTGATGGAACAGTTCTTAAATTGCTGGGAGAGTGCATGGTTAAGAAAGGGTTAAGATTTTGTTGTACCTGAAAACCTCTTTGGTCTCAAATGTTAAGAATTGAATATCCTGAAAAGAGTATGTATCAAGGAATGCAGAACTGTTTGCTAAGATGTCTCTACCTATATAAACCACTAGAGGGACTCATAACTGTAGCATTGGTGAGGCCTTTGAAAATAGCCACATCTTTAAAGACTCTTGACATAAACAAGGATTACAGGCAGCTGTATAATAATTCCAAGAAGTGGAACTATTAACACAATATTTTTCATTTTATTTTGTAGAATTATAAAATGCATCCAAATGCTACTGATGTGGTATGCAATAAAATACAAAGAAACGTACTGAATATGCTAAAAATCCAACAATTTATACGATATTACGGTTAATATTCCATAAATTTATGGGGTCACAAATTAGGAAAAGTCTTAAATTTATTCAGCAGCTACCTAAGTATCAAGATGCTAGGTGCTTGTCTAACTTCAAGCAACTGATTTCAGAGACTTTGACCTGCAGCACTGTAAGCCCAGTTTTCTAGTACAAACTAAGCACCCCTGGGGCATGCGGTACTCTAGGCAGTGGCCCTTGTGAGCAGTGCAGTTGCTAGGCAGGGTTATATCGGACAAGGTGGTTCCTTGGATAATTTGGTCCCAAGTTGCTTAGGTCTGTAAATACCTAAAACCAAAATCTTGAACACTGGTTGGTACCATACTGACAGCCAGTAAATCCCCTCAGAGGTGTTACATAGTGTTGGTGTCAGGGACTGGCATGACACTGAAGAGTGTGCACCAGGGGAAGGAGGGCTGTGATTTGTGGGGAACTGGACCAGCCAGGAGGCCAGAGGCAGGGGCAGCTTCTAGAGCAGGAAGAAACAGGTCAGACAAGTGAAGAGCCAGGTGCTTCCCCACCGTCTCCTGCACCACTGTCTCTCAGAACCAGGAAGGGATTGAAAAGGGATGAATAGAGGAAGTTGCCACAAAGGCACAGACTGCAGCTGTGTGTACATAGCCCTTTGGGGGAAGGTATATAAACTGGTGGAGGGGGAGTGGTCCCTTGCATAGAGTGCAGACCTGGGAACAGCTGCCAAGATGTTAGAACTGGTGTGTGTAGGAATCCAGAGCTGTAGAAGTGACTATTACCTTTGGCACTAAAGAGTTAACTATCTGCCTGTGCATTCCTTTGGCTGGGAAATGCCCTTGACAGTTGATGCGATGTTCCAGTCAACAACCTAGCTGCTGCACTCCAGCTGCAACTTCTAAACTAAGCCTGGAGGAAGCCCTACATTGAGCACATTGAAGGAATACCATCTTGAGGTTGCCACAACGGCCAAGCTATCTTAGTCCAGGAATGGCCATAGGTCTCTTATTAACTGACTTGCTACAGAGACCTGCTAAAGGGCAGGAAACTGCAAGAAGGAAGTAGCAGGAGGGAATGACTCGTGGTTGTCTGTATACTAATGCACAGAGTATGGGAAACAAGCAAGATGAATTGGAGCTGTTAATACAGGATGGCAAATATGACCTCACGGGCATTACTGAAACCTGATGGGATGAGACTCATGACAGGAATGTGTCATAGACTTATAGGGGGGGTCTTTCTGGTGGGCACCAGTGTCTACTCAGATAACTAGTTTCCTGGGATCTCTTATAAGTTCATAGTGTAGTTATGCCAATTAATGCATATAAGGGAGTTTCATGTATTCTAGTAGCAGACCTCCATTTTTGGGGCCCTGAAGCTTGAGCGGTCATGGGGGCCCCTTCACAACCAGCAGCGAGGTCTGGGTAAGCCCTGCTTTCTTCTTCAATGGGGTTGTTCCACAACAGATCACCACACCTTTACAACATCTGTGCTTGTTGTTGTTTAGTCGTTTAGTCATGTCCAACTCTTTGTGACCCCATGGACCAGAGCACGCCAGGCACTTCTGTCTTCCGCTGCCTCCCGCAGTTTGGTCAGACTCATGTTTGTAGCTTCGAGAACACTGTCCAACCATCTCGTCCTCTGTCGTCCCCTTCTCCTTGTGCCCTCCATCTTTCCCAACATCAGGGTCTTTTCTAGCATCTGTGCTACTGACTCTCAAACTTTGGGATTGTAAAAATATATGCAACAAAAAATTGATCCATTTGAATCATGCAAGTCAAATTGAGTCTACTAGACCCCCCAAAATTAAGCAACGTGGACCCCTTCAGGACTAGGGACCCTGAAGCTTAAGATTAATTAGTTCCATAGTAGATCCACCCCTGGTGTATCCTAACTATATCAAAGTCCAGAGATTTCATAGCAATAATATGTTCTACAGGAAATGTTTCTATGCAGGTGCTCTGGGAAAACAATATTTTCATACATAGCATGTACCTCAATAAACAGGGACGCGGTTGGCGCTGTGGTCTAAACCACTGAGCCTCTTGGGCTTGCTGATCAGAAGGTCGGCGGTTCAAATCCCTGCGACGGGGTGAGCTCCCGTTGCTTAGTCCCAGCTCCTGCCCACCTAGTTCGAAAGCATGTCAAAGTGCAAGTAGATAAATAGGTACTGCTCTGGCGGGAAGGTAAACGGCGTTTCCGTGCGCTGCTCAGGTTTCACCAGAAGCTGCTTAGTCATGTTGGCCAAATGACCTGGAAGCTGTCTGCAGACAAATGCTAGCTCCGTTGGCCTATAGAGCGAGATGAGCACCGCAACCCCAGAGTCGTCTGCAACTGGACCTAATGGTCGGGGTACCTTTACCTTTACCTTACTCAGATCTAGAAATATTTTCTGAATTTCTTTTTAACCATAACAGTTTCACCTACTACCTTTTATCAACTCTACACACACACACACACACACACACACACACAGAAAGAGAGAGAGGTGTCATTCCGCTTTATTAGTTCTGAAATGCCAAATCACTGCATTTTTATTGTCTGGCATTTGGAGGACACAACAGAAGCAGTACAAAAACAACAACTCTTGAATAATTGTGATATGAAATATTATAGGATTTCAGCCACAAGCTATAGGACAGGCACAGATGGGAGGGGAAGCAATATGTGCATCCCCAAAACCTTTGCAGGCATTAAAATCAGGGTTATGCATGACCACCCTGGTACCATCATGAGCTCAGATGATCACGAGCAACTTCTTCATTTGATATTGTGAGACAAACATGTTGGTTCAATAGTTTTCTCTCTTGCCTTTTTAGAATTCACTTCTTGAAATGTAGTTTTGTCCAAACTAGGTTAGGTATAGATAATCAGGCAAAAATATTCTTCTTAAGCAACTGGGAAAGGCTTTCAAGCATTTGTAGCGCACCTTCTGTAGAAGCATAATTGAAAACGGCAAGGGAAAAAAAGCCCCTGAAATCACATGTCTGAGGGTGGGTGACTAAGCGTAACTTTCTTCCTCTTAAGTAAAAATGATGCAATACCGTCTTGTATCCTTCTATGTGACCTGCTCTCGAAATGGTTTACAGACATAGAAACATGTTCCTGCTTGTTATGATTCTCTCCGTTTGTGGATTTACTGTGGCAGAAGAAAGACACCTGCTTTGCAGTTCAGACGACGTAGACATTTTATATTCCAACTGCAGTAAGTAAAGTATCAGATGGCTCTAATTTCCAATAGCGTTTGTGAAATAATTAGGATCACTTCCCCCTTTCCTCTGATTAAAGCTCCAGGTGTTTTCATTAGGATTGCACACGTTAATTTCTGTCTCCAATTTCCATTTCTTTAAGTAAGACAGAAAAAAAGAGTGTGTTGCAAATAATGCTGGAGAACAACATGAATAATTGCTGGCTTTTATAGTTTTCAAGGGAGATCAGCCATTGCTTCTCGGTCCTAATATACTTCGGTGCAATCAGAGATATTTCACACTCGGCACAAACTGAGGGCCAAATTCAGTTGTTTTCATGCATCTCACGTCTCTAAACATTTGCAAATAGCAGTTCTGTGGGGGTGGGGGTAGGGGTAGGGGTGTGATTTGAATGTGACCAGGCCAGGATATGTGCATAACTCTTTCTACCTGCCTCCATGTCCCCCCAACAGAAGTCTCACACACACTGTTATTTGCTATATTACAGAAAAATATATGTGTGCATACTAATGTGACAAGTAGCAGTTTAAGGAAAGCAATTTTCACAGGGGAAAGTGTGTATGTGTATAAAGGTTTACACCCCTCACCCTGCATGTCAGTGCTGATCTGGGTCAGCCTCCCCCGAGGTGGCTGCCATTTCTAAAACTTCACACAGATCAGAGATGCCGGTGCCTCGCCCAGTTTGTTTGTCCCTCTGTGAGCCTGTAGACAGCTTCCTCATTCCTCATTCACCATCTTAACACTCTGTAACATATTATCATTGGGCCTCTGCCAAGCTCTCTCCCGGAAACTTCTTCCTCTTCTTCTTGCTTCTCTTTATTACTTACTTTCCGTCCGCAGAAGAGTGCTGTGCAATTCAAAAGATTGCTCATTATTTTATGACTTTCACTTGGCCTTGATGAAGATATGCTACTGCTATTGTGTGTCCAGGCGGAGAGCCCCAGCCCAGAGAGACGACCAGAAAGAATAATGACTCGTGACAAAGTGTTATGGAATAAAAATTGGCCACAACTTTATTAAACCTTTCAGATGTAGGAAGACCTTGCCTTAGGCATTGGGCGTGTATCTCTCCCAGCCCCACCAGCCGGGGGAACTGGGGCTCCTCATGGTGAATGGGATATGGGAGGGTGCACAGCAAGATGCTTGTGTATGCTGGCAGCCCACCCTATATCCCCGCAACGCAGGGGAGTTCACTGACAACTTTTCAGTGTATGGCCAGTGACTCCTATATACAAACCCCTTTAAGAGGGGACCTTGGAATTGCTGCGCTGGGGGGGAGGTTGTGAATCATCACTTCATGCCCCCCCATTAAGGGAAGATAGACTAAAGGATTCCGTGGTTGCTGCCGGCTCCGCCTCCTATTTAAGCAACTGGCCCCACCTCCCTGCGGTGCTGATTGGCTGAGGTTAGGCGGGAACCTCCAATGACTAGCACAGGGAGGGAGGCCAGCCCAAACAGCTATTGGGTCCCACGTGACCAAGGTGCTGTGCGCGGTCCCGCAAAGGGCACCCACAAAGGAAGGTGTGAGCGCTCATTGTTTAGAAAGTGCAGGCGGTTAGCTAAAGGAGTATTTAAAAATATTTATGGGTGTTATGTACTGAGTTGAATAGGATCCAAACTGCAGCAGTCTGATTGGTCCTAGAACAATAGGATCCAAAAGGCAGCAGTCTGATTGGTCCTAGAACAATAGGATTCAGAATGCAGCAGTCTGATTGGTCCTAGAACAATGCAGCAGTATGATTGGTTGGCAGGAACCACCCAATCCTGCTCCAGATAGAAGTGAATCCACAACCTGATTGGCTTACAGTAGAATTCCAGAATTAGCCAATCATGTGCAGCCCATTGTGTAAATAATGTATATAAAGCAGATACTGTGAGGGGACATTCATTCATTCCTCCTCACCACTATGAGCTGAATAAAGAGCATGAAATCACTTTGCGACTCTGAGTATATTTCACTGGCGACGAAGGTGGGATCCCGCTGAGCTGACTGCCACACACAGCACCGCAGCACCGCCAACTGCCGCACCGCTGCCTCGCACCGTGTATCCAGGCTTCAGCTCCGGGACACAAGGAACTCAGAATGGCACCCGACAGCAGCTTCTCGCCATTCAACCCAGCATCTGGAGACTGGGAAGCGTACGCCTCCCGTTTCACCTTCCTCCTAGAAGCCAAAGGGGTCACCGACGAAGAAGACGCCAAGAAGAGGGCGATATTCTTCAGCGTCTGCGGAGAGGAGACGTTTGAAATCGCCCGGGCTCTCCTTGCGCCTGAAGACGTCGCTACTGTTCCATACAAAACAATAATGGAACAGCTGAAGGGGCACTTTTCGCCGCAGCCCTCAGTGGTGGCTCGTCGAAATGCCTTCTACGCAAAGCGGCAAGCCCCTGGGGAAACCATAACTGGGTTTGTGACCTCTCTCCGCCAAGCCGCCCGGTTCTGCAACTTCTCAGAGCTGGAGAACATGCTTCGTGACCGCCTCGTCGGTGGCCTGAAGGATGAGAAGCTGCAACGACGCCTCTACGCTAAGAAGGACCTAACGTTCCAGGTCGCTCTGGAGGAGGCCCTGGCAACAGAAGCTGCCGAGAGGTCGACCCAAGAGGCACGGCCGAGCCTGCCATCCCAACCGAGGGTCCACCACGAAGACCTCACCGACGACTCAGGATCCGACAGGGAGGAGGTGCACCGAGTACAGCAGCGCACTCAAGCAGCGCACAGACCACAGCTGCCTCGACGAGAAGGAGGGAACTGCGCAAGCTGCGGGGAGAGTCACGAGAGGAGGACCTGCCGTTTCCGCAACGCAGAGTGCAGGCAGTGCAGGAAATCGGGACACATCGCCCGGGTGTGTCGGGCTCGGCCCACCCGACACCAGGCATCAGATGACCAATCCAAGAGCCCCAGGTCCCGGGGCCCAACGCACCAAGGCAACTCGACGGAGCTCACGGACTTCCAGGTATACCAGTTGCCCCACCCCAACGTAGAGAAAATTTATGTAGAGGTACAGATAGAGGGGGCCCCATGCCGCATGGAGCTTGACACGGGTTCAACTCTATCCATAATCTCGGCAAGGACCTTAAGGAAACTGTGTCCGACTGGGGGTCCCAAACTCAGGCCGGCCCCATTCACCCTCCGGGACTTCCAGAAACGTAAGGTCCCCACAATGGGGGTGGGGACCTTCAGGGTGCAATACCGAGGGCGGACGCGGCAACTGGACTTGCTTGTGGTCAAGGGCCCCTACATTAGCTTACTGGGATTGGCATGGTTTGGACCACTGGGGCTAGCTGTCACCGGGGTGAACCACACTAGCTTACAAGTGGACGTGGACGCCATATGCAAGGAATTTCCAGGGGTTTTCGATGGGAAATTGGGACAGTATACGGGCCCCCATTGCGCTACAGCTTGACCCCGCAGTACGACCGGTCAGGCTCAAGGCCCGCCGGGTCCCGTTCGCCTTGAAACCCCGTATAGACGAGGAATTGGACCGACTCGTGGAGCAAGGAGTGCTGGAGCCGGTGCCTAATGCCCCTGGGAAACCCCAATCGTCACACCCGTCAAGCCTAATGGTTCGGTCCGCATCTGCGCAGACTACAAATGTACCATAAACAAGGCCCTCACGGCCCACGCATACCCAGTGCCAGTGGTCAGCCATGTCCTAGCCACCCTGGCTGGGTCGAAAATTTTGGCAAGCTGGACTTGGCCCAAGCATATCAACAGCTGCCAGTAGATGAGGCCACAGCAGAGGCACAGACGATTGTGACGCACAGAGGAGCGTTCAGGGTAAAGCGGCTGCAATTCGGTGTCAGCGTGGCACCAGGCATATTCCAGAATCTAATGGACTCTCTCCTTAAAGGGATTCCTGGCGTCACCCCCTTCTTCGATGATGTGTTGATTGCCGGGCCCACACCAGAGGAGTTTGAGGACCGCCTCCGCACCGTTCTGCACCGTTTCCAGACGGCGGGTCTCAAGGTGAAGCGGGAAAAATGTCTACTAGGAGTGCCTCAGGTGGACTTTCTGGGATTTATGGTGGACGCAGAAGGGGTCCACCCGACTGGGGACAAGGTACGGGCCATTTGTGATGCCCCAGCGCCCAAGAGCAAGACTGAACTTCAGGCCTTCTTGGGACTATTGAACTTTTACCATTCCTTCCTTCCCCACAAGGCGGCGGTAGCGGAGCCCCTACACAGACTCCTGGACAAGCGGGCCCCTTGGGTGTGGGGCCAGCGCCAGGAGGCCGCATTCCAGGCAGTCAAGGACTTGCTTGTCTCAAACTCGGTCTTGGCACACTTCGACGAGAGGCTGCCGGTGGTGCTAGCATGCGACGCCTCACCCTATGGCATTGGAGCTGTCCTGGGGCACCAACTCCCGGATGGAAGAGAGGTACCGGTGGCGTACTTTTCCCAGACACTCAACACAACCGAGCGGAACTACTCGCAAATCGACAAGGAGGGTCTGGCAATCGTAAAGGGAGTAAAAATTCCATGATTTCTTGTACGGGCGGCCCTTCACCGTGGTGACTGACCACAAGCCGTTGCTTGGCTTGTTTGCCCCGAAAAGCAGACCCCCCAAGTGCTGTCTCCTCGCGTCCTCAGGTGGTCAATTTTCCTTGCCAGCTACCAGTATGCACTGATTCACCGACCTGGGAAGGCGATGGGCCATGCGGACGCCCTCAGCAGGCTACCACTACCGGAAACAGGCCCTGACCCAGCACCTGCACAAGAGGTTATGAGCCTGGAGCTGCTTCCCGACCGCCCCATTCAGGCACAAGAAGTTGCACACCATTCCAAGAAAGATAGGGTCATCTCCCGGGTCCTGGACTGGGTGTGGAGGGGATGGCCCAGCAGCAGCCCCGGGCCAGAATTCGCCGGCTACACAACCCGCAAACATGAACTGTCGGCCCACAAGGGGTGCCTGTTATGGGGAAGCAGAGTCGTTGTTCCCCAGCCCCTCCGCAAAAGGGTCCTCACAGCCCTACACGAGACACATCCAGGGGTAGTAAGAATGAAGGCCCTTGCCAGGAGTTATGTGTGGTGGCCGGGGATCGATGGAGAGATAGAGGCCTGGGTCAAACACTGCCAGGCCTGCCAAGAATCCCGCCCAGATCCCCCAAGGGCCCCAGTCCAGTCCTGGGAGTCCGCCCGAGCACCATGGTCACGCCTGCATGTGGATTTCGCTGGCCCCTTTCAGGGGAAAACATTCTTCATAGTGGTGGACTCCTACACCAAATGGCTGGAAGTCGCACTGGTACCGTCCACTTCCACGTCCGCAGCCATCCGGGTACTACGCAGGCTGTTTGCAACCCACGGGCTCCCTGACACTCTCGTCTCAGACAACGGGACTGCATTTACGTCAGGAGAATTCCAAACCTTCACAGCGCAGAACGCCATCCGGCACATCCGTTCGGCGCCGTTCCACCCTGCCACCAATGGCCAAGCAGAACGCATGGTGCGGACCACCAAGGACACCCTTCGCCGCATGACGCAAGGGGACTGGGAGTACCGCCTTGCCACATTCCTTCTAGCACAGCACAGCACCCCCAGCTCAACGACTGGCCGGAGCCCCGCTGAACTACTAATGGGTCGGCGCCTTGCAATCAGATTGGACCGCCTTCACCCCGATAGAGCTCAGGATGAGGTAGTGGTGGGGAAGGCAGGAACCCCCGGACCTTTGAGGCCCAGGACCCAGTGTACGCAAAGAATTTTGGGGCAGGCCCAGCATGGGTACCCGCCACAGTCACCAGGGTCACTGGCCCCGTGTCGTACGAGGTGCTAACAGATGGGGGCAATGCTGGCGCCGCCACTGCGACCAGATACGGCGACGATTCCCGGGAGAAAACCAGGAGGAGGACAGGTCAGAGGAGTCCCAAGGGAACAGCGGGGCAGTGAGGCCCATAGAGCAGGAGGGGCCAGCAGGAGAGGCAGAATCAGTAAATACAGAGAGGACCCGTGAGGCCGAAAGGACACCGGAACCAGAACCACGACTGAGCGAGCCGGTTGCACCAGACCAAACAGCCCCATCACAGCCAGCATCCTTGGAACACGAGCCAGAACCTGGAGCCCGGACCAGGGAACACCCCAGGCCACAACGCACACGTAGGCCGCCGGCATACCTTGAGGACTATGAATGCGACCTCCCGGGCAGGACTGGAACTTAGAGGGGAGGGGTGTTATGTACTGAGTTGAATAGGATCCAAACTGCAGCAGTCTGATTGGTCCTAGAACAATAGGATCCAAAAGGCAGCAGTCTGATTGGTCCTAGAACAATAGGATTCAGAATGCAGCAGTCTGATTGGTCCTAGAACAATGCAGCAGTATGATTGGTTGGCAGGAACCACCCAATCCTGCTCCAGATAGAAGTGAATCCACAACCTGATTGGCTTACAGTAGAATTCCAGAATTAGCCAATCATGTGCAGCCCATTGTGTAAATAATGTATATAAAGCAGATACTGTGAGGGGACATTCATTCATTCCTCCTCACCACTATGAGCTGAATAAAGAGCATGAAATCACTTTGCGACTCTGAGTATATTTCAATGTGGATAACCATAAATGTGTGGCTTTACTGTATTTCCAAGTGCATCACCACAGATCAATGGATAAAGTAGCACAATGCAACGTGGGTGTCTGTAGTACTGTACTCCAGAGTGATCAGGATGAAAAGCCAGAGAGATAGAGCAATGCTTGATTTCTGTTTGAATCTAAGGCTGCTGCGATGGGAAAAGCAAGACCCTTTTGGAGTGTTTTTTTTTTAATTTTAAACAAAACTGATTCCTTATTTATTTTATAAGCTTTTTAGATTTTGAATATACAGCAGACATTTCCCAAAAAAAACCCCAAACAAAAACTCTTCCCTCAGGGAAAACACTGTACAGGCTTCCTCTTATCACATGATTTTGGAAAACTTTATGTGCTTTGATTTGACCGTTTTGGAGTGTTAATGCTGCGAACCCCTCCATCATAGTCTCAGTTGTATCTCTCTCTCTCTCTCTCTCTCTCTCTCTCTCTCTCTCTCTCTCTGCTGTCCTTCATTCCAAAGGAATCTCACACCTCTCAGAGATTGGGGTGACGTGCAACAATATTAACTTCAAAGGTGAAGTGTGTTGCATTTTGCATTTCAGCAGAGGCTCTAATAAGGAAGTTCAAAGCTTCGTGCCATTTTGTAATGAGGTTTGCAACATTATTAAACTTTCTTTGTTACGCAGGTAGAGGCCTTCCAACAAAAGACTTCTTCTTTACAGTAGAGCCGTGTGCACTAAAGGGTAATAGAAAATGGCGGGGAACTCTTTTCTGGATTCCAAGTAAGATATATTCCTATTTCAAGTAACACCAAGCTCATTGCTTTACATTACTACGAGATGCACTTCAACCTGAAAGTTTTATTCACTGCTGGGCTGTATTAACTGGTGGCTTTGTGCTTATGGGAGGTTTTTCCAGGGAGGTGGGGTGGGGATCTGATTGCCATATCCCATACTGCTTGGGAGGGGTGTGTCTCCCGATTTCCAGAAACACTTTTTTGGGAAGGGGTGCTAAGGTGAGGCAGGGTGTATTAGTGAAAATCACGTGCCCTGCCTTGCACTAGTGATACAACCTATTCCATAGAACTCCAGAAGGGATGCTGTTAAAACTTGGACAGAAGAAGAAGTTTATCACAGCTGCTCAAGGACAGAAAGCAGATGTTGAAAATCAACTCACAAATGAAGCCATTTTGTCCTTAGGCTTTTAGAGAAGATTTTATCATCATGTGGAGGTGGGAAGGAGAGACATTTGGCCTGAGCCAATCCCACTTCCATTGGTTTGTCCATACATTTCACATAATTTACCCTGGATTTAAATGCATTCTTATTTTGTTTGTTCGTTTAGAGGTTCTCTGTAATACTGCAAGCAAAGCAACCTTTTGTTGTTTTCTGGACATTTTATATTTGCTAATGCTTCTGAGAGCCAGGTATCTTTAGTGAATTTTCAATCCTGCGTTTGCTACTGAAAAGGGAATATGGGAAACAATTACACAATGGGAGAATGAAGCTTTTATCTGTTCCAAGCTGTCTGTGTGAAGAGGTGGAAGTATGAGGATAATAGTCTACAATTCATGTCTCATTCATATAGATTATTACACAAAATACATTGTAAAAATTCCTTTGGATTTCAATGAGCTCAGAAAGTGTTCTAGATCACAAGTGTATTTTTGCCTTCCCTGAGAAAGCCATTGAATGTTGTCAAGATTGTAATTGAAATTGTTGCCATGTAACATGCTTTATTGTGTTAATTTTTATAGGGGCTGATTTAACCATTTTGAGAGCACACGTAAACATATGGTCTAAAGGGTTTGAATCCGTAAAATGGAAAGGTACCCTTTGCGAAGGTGTGGATGATGGCTATACATTTTGTGGAGCTCTGAAGGGAGGTAAGAGTACATTATGGCACCTTTAGCTGACATATAGGATCTGCATTTGCTCTTAGCTTGAAATCCTGCACAGGCTTTTCTAAGTCTCCTGTTTATTTATTTGCTATATGTATTTGGACAGTTGTGTGTCCAAAAACTGGGACACATGCAGAACACATGCAAAATCTTACAGGGACAAGAGTAGATCTTACATGGGGCCATCACTTTTTTCCCTCCATCACACTTTTCTAAATCTAGCCGGATCACAGCAGAACAACAGTTGTGACTTTTAAGTCTTTGCTACTAGGCTAAACTAATGATATAGTCAGTGGTAAAGTGGGGAAAGGGAGCATCTGCTTTGCCCACAGAAGGGCCCATGTTCAATTCCTGGCATCTCCAGGTATGGCTGGGAGGTTCTCCTGTCTGAAACCCTGGAGAGCTACAGTCAGTGAGTGTAAGCAGTAGTGAGCTAGAGGGGTCAATGTTTTGATTCAGTGTAAGGCAGCCTCTCCCTCATACAGGTAAGCCACCTTCAACTGATTCTCATCCCAGCCTTACTCTTCCATCAATGACTTCCATAGGGCTAAACCAGTATTGCACTAATTGCTATGTACAAGGGTAGTTCTATGTTAGCAAACATGCACCCACAGCACTGTGCAGGGCACATTTTCAGTTCATGTGGGATGCTATTAATACCATAGCAACTGGCCTCTGGAAAGTTGAGGCGTGGCCCCTCTCACTACTGGCTATTTTTGCTTTTTGAAAGGAAACTCTGGGACTTGGGAGACTTAGGGAAGTTAAATAGATTACCCCCCAACATAAAAGGGTAAAACTGAAGATGTGTCAGGAGACAGGATTCTTTCAAGAAATAGTAAATTTATATATTAAATTCAGTGGATGTTACAGGTTTCTAAACAAGATGGAAAATGTGCAGCTTATATTTACTTCAGTTCCTTAAACCAAATCGTAGAGGTGTTACAGTTTAGGCCTTAAAACTTAGGTTCTGAAACAAGGTGGTACTTTCTGTCAGTTTTCCAACATTCTATAAATCTCACTTCTGAGGCTCCTCTATTAGATGCTACACCTCTACATTTGTTCTAGAAATCCCACCCACTGAAGAAATGTGTAAACTTCTTAAGATGCAGATACAGTATTTGTATAATTGTAATTTTTTTCAGGTTGTAAACCACATTGTGTATATAGAAAGGCAGTATACAAATGAAAAGTGAAATGAAAGAATAATGGCATAATGTTGTTTTTGTCATGCTCAAGTTCTTGATGATTGTTCTTCTGCAGAGACAATAAACACAACTGTGAGAATCAGTGGTAATGAGCCAACATATGAAGAGGTACTTTATGAATCAAAACTTGAAAATACAAAAGTATTATGTATTATTATTATTATTACTAATTAAATTTCTATACTATCCTTTATCTGAGGATCACCGGGCGGTTTACAATATAAAAATATAAGAATAAATAGCATAGTAACAAACAAAACAATATTGCTCCCCAAGTTCAAAAGGCCATCGATTTGACTCATTAGAGTCAAAGGTCCGGGAGAAAATATGTAATGAAGGCATCAGGAGAGCCTCTCTCTTGAATGGAGTGGCTAACTTGGTGTTATGTATAGGGTGTGTCATTTTATGGGGTGAAACTTAATTTTTTGCAAATTTCTTCTGTGAGGGGGTCTTAAAAATATGTTTTTGGGTGTGAGGAATTTAATTCTGCTATTATTTTTGTGATTAGACAACATTTAGCAGTGCTCATGGTTTGTTCCTCTCCAGATAAACCACAAATGGAAACCAAGCTTTGTTCTTAGCTTACAACTTGTGTTTTGTTTAAGATCGGGGTCACACATAACTCCATGGTTTATTCCCAAGGGAGGAGGGAAGTGAGTACAATTAATCAGCATGCACCAGCACAATGGTTTATTCACAGTAAACCATAGTTTATTTTAGACTATGTCTTGCCATGACTTGCAAACAGATCACAGCATGCAGTATGGCATGCACCAACTTCTTGAATAGATTTCTGCTTCAGATTACAGGAACAACTGTTGGCTTGCTGGCGAGCCCATCCTTTTGAGGATGGAGGCTGCTTTCCATTGACATGAATGAACAGTTTGCTTGCCTGGGAGTGTCACATGTGCAGATGAATACACACAGGGCTTGGTTTAACTTGCCAAGGACTATATTGTGTGCAACCACTTTTATGATTACTCTGATATGTCAATACTGTGTTACCTAACATTCTGGGAAATTTTTCAAAAAGACAGAAACCAGCAAGTACCATATTTTTCGCTCTATAAGATGAACCAGACCACAAGACGCACCTAGTTTTTGGAGGAGGAAAACAAGAAAAAAAAATATTCTGAATCTCAGAAGCCAGAACAGCAAGAGGGATCGCTGCACAGTGAAAGCAGCAATCCCTCTTGCTGTTCTGGCTTCCGTGATAGCTGCGCAGCCTGCATTCGCTCCATAAGACGCACACACATTTCCCCTTACTTTTTAGGAGAGAAAAAGTGAGTCTTATAGAACAAAAAATACGGTAATAATACAAATGCTTGTTGACACATTGGACAACTGACTCACTATTCCGGAATCCCCTGAAATATCAACTTGAGGCAACCTCAGCAGATAGTTCTAAACTAGCCTTCAGCTCTAATGAAATCGCTGGGACTTAAGAATGCACAATATAAGCACCTTTCACAATTACAAATTAACTCATTTTCTTTCTTTTAGGGAGAATACACAGTTGTTGTAAAAGCATTCGCTGGTCATCACAAGGAGCTGATAGCTTGCCTGAATTACACAATCATCATTAAACAGCCACTTTCAAACTAAAGAAGTTCTTCTCAACCATTTCACAGCACAAGAGCTATTTTTCAGAGAGCAGTGGAATGAAATCTAGTCACAGAAATAATCAGCTGAAAGGTTCTGGTTTTCCAGGACTGTTGTCTGAAAAATTAGAAGATGAAAGCAAATGTTCATTTCTATCACTGCTATTGCTAAAGGCTGGTTCTGTGTGTGTGACATTTACACATATGCACACACACCATATGAGTACACACATCTGTGTACTCCTTGAGCAGCAACTGGTTGCTTTCATAATTTACTGAACATTTTTGGTATGTGATTAAAAGTACTGCCGTGACTGCCTTTTCCTTCTTGTTATCTTCCCCATATCACTCTCTGCTAATTCACCAACAGCTTGTATAAAAGCAAGTACAAATGCAAGAGGCCACAGGAGTAAGCTTTGGGCTTAGCACACCCATTTTGCTTTTCGCTGCCCATAGAACTGCAACGTAAGCCAAGGTGCATGTACAATGTCCACGTGACATGGTCAGGTGATCTGTGTGTCATACTGCATTTTGATTGGATCGTCTATTTTAACTGCTTTGAGACTCTACTGACAGGCTGCACACCCAAAAGAAGCAGCTTAGGAACCGTTGAAAATATCACAGGCTTCCCTAGGGTCATGATGCCTCTTGCACATCCTGCAAAGCTTATGATGTCACTTGCTGAATTTCAGATGCCGGCCATTCTGAGCAATTCAGATTTTGTGGCCAAAGCTGAATGAGAAATCCTTAACAAAGGGTCCATTGCAGAGAACAATACATTTGTGTTTGATGAATGGCAGCAACAAAGCACGTTGCGGTAAGGGAGTGTATAGAAAATGGCGACATCACACCCTGTTCCACTTACCGCTTTCCATGAAGATGAGAAAGCCAAGGCTGGTGCTTAATTTCACTTTTCAATGCTTCCTTTGTCACACTTCAGAAGAAACGGAACAAAAGAGCATTGTCTCAATGAACAAGGAATTATTGATGTTCCCTGTGCATCATCTAGCATCACAGTGTCTGCTGCAACTGTGGGTATTCCATTTTTCACATTAATATGTCACAGCCAGGTGGTTTCTAGTGAAAGAACTCTTAAGGAATGCCGGAGTTCCTTTGAGGAGACAACAAAGAGGCTTGTGACAATGAACAGATTTATTGTGGCATAAGCTTTTGTGGACGAGAGCCCATTTCATCAGATGCCTGAAGTATTATCCTCAGCTGACAGATGTACTCATAAACACACGCAAGCACAGAGCAAACAAATATGAGCAGTGAGTTCCAAAGACCATGGAGACCAGAGATACAGTCTGTTACATTTCAACACAAAGCTGAAATTTATACAAGAGAATAGAGGTCTTTGGCAATACCTTTTGCCGTATTTACCATTTAACCCCCCCCCCCAAATATACCACAGAAACAGTACCCAAAGCAACTAAAGATAGATGTTCATTTTGTATGTTTTTAAACATGGAAAAGATTGCCAAAATAAAAATACCTTCCATTGTTTCTGGAAAGTACAGATAGTGGGTGCCTCTTGTACCTTAACAGGGGTGCTGTTCCACCAATACAGCCATAAGTGAATACATTAAAATGCATTTGTAAATTCTAATGTATCAGTTTCAGATTGGAGTCACGATTTGATGTTCTTTTTCAGAATAAATTTGTGAAATTTGTTGCAAACTAGAAACAGAGTGCCTGGGAGACTCCTGTTCATTTTTAATGCAGCCATTTCAATGTCCTATTTTGATGCCCATTTCTTATTTTGCATAAAGGTTGGTCTGTGTGCCCAGAACAGAATAACGAAGGACATGCTTGTCAGGTGACTTATTCCCAGGGCGAATGAAATAATAAAATGAGACATCCAAAATATAGAATATGTTTGGAAAACAGCAATCATAAGCAGCATAAAACAGAAAAGACGATAAGAAATAATAATAATGGAGATAAAGTATTTTCTTAGCACCAAGAAAGGTAACCACGTGGGGACACATGAGCCTCCCTGAGGAGAAAGTTTTGCATGAAGGATGACATGACTGAAATCAGTCCTAGTTGCCAAAAGGTGGAAAAAATGGGAGGAAAGCATTGACAGATGAACCTGAATGCAAAGGGAGGTTAATATGGAAGCAGGCACACACCCATTGGAGAATGAGACTTGATGTTAGGGAAGGTACTATAAGAAGCTGTAAGAGTGTTGCTACTACAGTGCAGTGGGTATCAGCACGGAGCTGGCATCTGGGTTTGTTGCAGTGGCTCTTCCCTGGGTTTATGTGACTGTAAAGGAGACTGGGTAACCGTGAGTAATGCAGCTCACTCTCTGGACTGTGATCAGAGAATAGCGATGCACCCCCCCTTCACTCTGTATTCAGAGAGTCCCAACCGCTGCTTCGGACACAGTTAGCTACCATCAGTTTCCATCTCGTATCTATCCCCTCATTTCTATCCAATTCTATTCAAGACAGAGCTGTTCCACCAGGCCTTTGGCCAGGGCACAGCCTGACTCCCTCCTTTGGCAATCTTCGCGGAGCTCTGGCCCAATGGTTGCCATTGGTTTGATTTGAATTAATTTTATAATGAATGATTTTAGAGTGTTGTGTTGTGTTGTACTGTTGTACTGTTTTATTGTTGTTAGCCGCCCTGAGCCCGGCTTCGGCTGGGGAGGGCGGGATATAAATAAATTTTATTATTATTATTATTATTATTATTATTATTATTATTATTATTATCCCCTCATGTGCTTTGATGCATCCCCCCTCCCCTCCCCAAACCACTTGGATCTGAACCAAGAAGAGGAACAACCTAGCTGTTTTCAAAGCTGGCAATGTGGGCACAGCCAATATTCCTGGCAATGAAGTTGCAATTTGCTCTGTAGCCACTAGGCTGTGGTGTGTTTCACTGAAATGAAGCTACGCTCACAATTTTACTAACTCTCAAGCATGCATGGCTAATTTAAGGAAATTCATTTGCAAACTTGACTCCCAATATACAACTTAACAAACCAACATGGGGGCTGTGGGTGATGCTACATCCAATCATGTTTGCTTAGAGAGGTTAGTTCTATTATTCTAGCCACATAAATAAAAGAAGAAATAGGTGCACATCTTCCATGGTAAGTGAAAAAGACACTCAGTATGGCAGGAAACCAGCCAAAGGAACTTCAGCCATTATTGCCTACTCTAATAATTAATGTCCCTTAAGCATTCATGGGGTGTAGTGTTCAAAACATATATTTCTCACCAATAAAGGAGCACACATATTCACAAAGTGTCAAAAAATGTGTATTACATTTTTATTACTCACGTTACCAAAACATCAACCATTTTCAAAAATATTTAAATTAATCCAAATCGACAGACCTGGCTCTTAGGATAGCTAGCTCATATGAGGACACCAAAAGAGGTGACGTTGTCAGGTGAATTTGAGATTTAGGTGCACATTCTGGACATGCTATTAACCTGCAACCACAGAAAGAAAATATGTATTGTACTTACAGTTGAAGCATCAGTTAGTTTCATGTATCAGAGTGTTTTCTGTCAAGAGCAACAGCAAAAGAAACCACCAGTCGCTGATGTCATCAAATGCATAGGGCTCCTTACAGGCTCATGTCACTCCAATGTTCTTGGTAGAGTTATGTGACAGGTGCTTGTATTTTCAATGTGTTTCACTCCTGGGTAAAAATACACTTCACTCAGTTGTGGGTCACACAGGGTGAATGGTTCCAAATGTAAGGGGAAAGGTGCTGGGAGTCTGGCTTGCCTTTGAACTCGGGGAGTTAATCAGAATGATCCTGTAGAATACTTGGGCAAGCTGCCTTCAGTTATGTGTGAAGGCTGAATATATATATATAAGCCTGGCAGGTGCCGTTTAGAAACCAGCAAGCATCTTAACATTTTAGGTGGATGGAGGCATGACGATTACTGCTGAAAACAGCACAGATCCTATGGTAATGTCACGAAATTTGCAAAGAGAAAGCTATAGGCTACCTTTCCCCCACCCCACCTAATGCATGTCAGGAAAAGCATGCAAAAGAATACAAACAATAAATGTGTAGCCTGTCATTTCAGATAAGCATGAAAAAGGCCAAAAGCCTTGAAGATAAACTGCTGCACAGATGACTCAGTACAAACCTGGGAAGGGAGGAGAGACCAATTTCACTTAAAGTGTAAGGCCTACTTAAGCAGTAGCTTTCCATCCCTTCCTTTGCTTCTGCATATCTGGCAATATAGCTCTCTTTAGCCTTCATGGACAAGAGTTAAAGGAGTAATGCTAGCAGTGTCAAAAATACCCTTATCAATAAATGTGAAATTATAGGATGCGTTGGGAGCTAGAATATTATAGAATACAATATTTGGTTCCAGTGTTAGCACCTGTCCAATTGGTATACAATTGGATTAGAAGCTTTCTGGAAGGGGCCACACATCCCCCATCCCTGATTTATCCTATACAGCTTTACAAGAGTACATTTTGTGAGACGCAGGTCACATTAACACCATATTTTCAACGCACATGACTGAGCTCAAAGGACCCTGGGACCTTTAGTTTACCCCTCAGTGGTGTAATATGGGTTGCCAGGGCCCAGGGCCATGTGGAGGGGGGCAAGGGAGGGAAACAGAGTACACATGCACATTCAACTGCCTAACAGCATCTGTGTCACCCAGGAGATCGCAGCCACAGAGATAAGAAAAGTTGTTCCGTTGTCTGGAGAGGCCACTTGCTTGTTCTCATGGAGAAGCCATTTTCAATGCAGCTCAGAGATGGAAGTTCGCAGCTGTATTGAGGCAGCACCAGGGGTTGAAATGTTGTGGCCCTAACAATTTTGTGCCCTGGACAACTGCCCCTATGCACCCCCTCCATGCTACACCACTGTAACCCTCACAGAGTTACAATTCCCAGCACCCTTAACAAGCCACAGTTCCCAGAATTCTTGGGGGGGGGGAGCCACGTGGTATAAATGTATAGTGAAGATGTGACCTCAGGCTGCCATTCTAACTCTACTTGCCATGGAGTAAACCCCACTGAATTCAACAGGACTTACTTCTGAGTATACAAGGATCACGTTGTCAGTGATCAGAAGCAGTTCAGCTCAGGATAACCATTGGTGGAGAAGATTGTCCACATCCAACATTTGTTGACTCTCGGCTTCTTTTAAAGAAGTATAGTCTCACTTTTGGCAGACAAATATATTTGTTTTACACTGCACTCCAAACATGCAATATTCTGAGACAGACCTGCAGAACTTGGGACCCATTATGGCAAACCTAGTCCACTAGCAATGTCCTCGTTTCTGCCATTCCTGGCAGGCAATAAAAGCAGGAAGCTTATTAAGCTCAAAAACCCACAAATTTGATAGCCATGGTGACCATGCTCCCCTTCCCTTTGTCCCTCCCCTGGATTTTAACTTCATACTGCGATAGCTCTGCTGCTTTATCTTGAGCCTTAAACTTATGGTGCTTTCAGAGCATTACAATTTTAGGGTGAGATTTACATCCCAGCAAACTTAGGCTGCACAATTAAAGCTGGTTTGCAGCCTTTGCAGAACAAGCCCTACAAAGACTGGAGTTTTTTGTGATAAGGAAAGTGATGAGAAAATACATTAGAAGGTGTGGGATAACAGTTGCCTAATGCAACATGGTCTAATCTATCCACAAGCAAATCAGGATAAATGCTCATTAAACAGCCAATGTTGTTTAATCTCTTGGGGGGAGGGATCAAACTCAGTGCTCATTAAATTGGTTGTCTGCAAGTGGCTTTAGAGAAGAGGCAGGGTTTATCTCTGACAGTGTTGTGCTTCAGAGACACAGTCACACCCGCACAATACATTTAAAGCATATAACACACACGGTTCTCTCCCAAAAAATCATGGGAACTGTAGTTTGTTACAGATGGTGGAAACTGCAGATCTGTGAAGGGGTAAACTACAATTCCCAGGATTCATTGCAGGAAGCCACGTGCTTTAAATGTGCTTTAAATATATGCTGTGTAAAAAGTACAGATCAGAGTTAGAGGTGAAACCCTGTTCCTGCTCCCTGAAACTTCTGTTCATCCCATGAACAGAACTTGGAGGAAATATGGGGTAAGTGGCAGTAACAAATAATGGCTAGCTACCAATGTGAGCCAAAACTTGTGGTCACTGATTCAGCCCCTACTGGTCAAATGTATATTAGTGGGTTGTGCATTTTGCACACTTACCTAAAGGAGCAGTTCCTATACAAACAATTTTCTTCTGCTTATAATTTTTGGGCATTAAGGCTATAATCCTGTGCACACTTATTTGGTAATAAATGCCATGGTGCATTTGCACTAGCTAAACCAGATGCCTTCATTTGCCCCAGCTGCAATAGAACATATCTCTTCTGAATTGGTCTCTACAGTCACAGCGGGCGCTGTAAACTCTCCAGTGGTTTGACTTTACCACTGATGGTGCACTATTCCATTGTCTTGAGACAGAAGGACACCACCAACAGTTGTACACAGTTGTGTTTACATCCAAGAAAATGTGCACAGGAGTAGGTTACATAGCTCCATTCAGTTTTGGAAAGTATCTGACATATGCGAGAAACTTGAAGAATGAGAGGAGGAGTGTTTGGCTGCAATAGTTTGGGGTTGTGCATAAACTTGATTGTTCTGAGTGACCAGGCAGGACTGAGCTTGGATTATGTAGTAAAGCAATGTTTACAGAATACAGTAATGAAAGTGCCAGATAGAACATTTTTGTGTGTGTTTATCAAACACTCCCTGGACTTTCCATCAGCTACCAAGAGGAAGAATGAATAATTTCCTGTTTTACTACTAAAGGAACCCTTTCCAAAGGAAGTTCTTAGCCTTTATTTCCTCATATGATTCTTTCCTATGACCTTGTTCATTGTATTGTTCTGAAAAAAAGATGATTTTGTAGCTGAAGGCTGTTTATGAAAATGAAGCCACTGACAGTGGTTAGACTATCATCACTGACTTTTATTGAGCATCCATTCTGTGTTTTATTTTTGTGGGTGGTTATATGACAATGAGCATTCATCCTGATTTGCTTGTGGGGTGTTTGTGTGTCTTCATCTTCTATTTACCCCACAAATGCATTTCCCTGTCACTTTCTAAACAGCAAAAGTGGATTTGTTGTGCTTAATCTAATCTAATTGCACAGTTCTCCAGTTCTGGCATGCACTTGAATCCCTTCCCGTAAAATACAACACACTTGCAATCTCTTATTCTCTATGTAAGTGTATTGTTATAAAGCAATAGCACAATCATATTGCTCAGAAGAACTGAGAGGCATCACCATGCACAACTATTGCATTTACTTTAAAATATTTGAGTTTGGTATTTGTTATTTTCCTCCATTATTGCAAGTCAGGGTTGGGTTAGTGCAGCCATGGAGGGGAATTGTACTATATTGCTGTTAATGCAGACTGAAGCTTTCCTCTGCTTCTGCAGATGCAAGCATGATCGTGTACAGATATTTACTGCCAAGCAAGACCAAAGGGCGTGATAAATAGATGTTCAAAAATCAAGTGGAGCAGTTCTACAGAAAACACTTTAACAATAACTGGGCGAATACTGACAGAACAGTTTATGAAAAATTACATGTATTGTCGGAAAAGTGGAATACAAGTAATAAATAAAATCAATAATTTAAAAGTTTACGAAAAATTACATGTATTGTCGGAAAAGTGGAATACAAGTAATAGATAAAATCAATAATTTAAA